CGGAGTTCTGGAAGGAGTTAAAACGCTCCTGTATCAGTAAGCAGCTGCTACCCGCATCTATAAATGGGGTATCAGGAGATAAGAACATTGTTGAAGCCTGGAAGAATCACTTCAGCAGAATTTTTAACTGTGTAAATAGTGAAAGTAGGGCTGCAACAACGAATCGATAAATTCGATGAAAATCGATTACTAAAAGCGTTGGCAACGAATTGCGTCATCGATTCGTTGTGTAGCACAACTCTTCCAGACCAGCGCAAGTCAGATCAGCTCGAGGGAGAGCCGGCAGATCAGCGCGAGGGAGAGCCGCAGATCAGCGCGAGGGAGAGCCGCAGATCAGCGCGAGGGAGAGCCACAGATCAGCGCGAGGGAGAGCCACAGATCAGCGCGAGGGAGAGCCGGCAGATCAGCGCGAGGGAGAGCCACAGATCAGCGCGAGGGAGAGCCGGCAGATCAGCGCGAGGGAGAGCCGGCAGATCAGCGCGAGGGAGAGCCGGCAGATCAGCGCGAGGGAGAGCCGGCAGACTTGCGCTGCTGCGAACCGGTTCCGCCCAAGGCCGGATTAACTGGGCAATTGCCCAGGGCCCAAGAACTTCAAAAGGGCCCAGGGCACGAGCAAAATACTGTATCTATAATTTCGCTTTATGAGGACTATGGTGACCGTACGTTCCGTTTTCCCTGGACATGTCCACTTTTCACTCTCTGTCCGGGCGTCCGGACTGCGGGTTCTTGTATTGATGAAAATGTCCGGCTTTTCATCCAGGAGCAGGGATCGAACTATGGGGGAGCTGTATATCCTACACATCCGGGGAGCCGGAAAAAAGTTTTCTATATTATATCATTTATATCATTGTTGGACTCTTTTGAGCAGAGAGCGGCACAGCGCATTGTTGCGCAGTGCTCCAGGCAGCTGCTTCCAGCGCACTGTCCATTCTCAAAGTGGCACAACCAAAATACTATAATTAGCACACGATCGTTCATGTCTGCACATGTTCTCTATTTTCTGTCTTATTTGTGCCTGAAGCTCGCTACTGCGGAGCTCATCACCTGTGCTGCGGTGATGTCACCTCATGCAGCATCGAAAACGCGCTCTGCGCTTTGTGGTCAGGAGATTCCTTTGATCTGCTCAAAAGTAACTGATGAGGTGAAAAGGTAAGAATCCAGGCAACAGATTTTCTGGAGAATTAAGAGGAGATGCAGGAAGATGAGAGACAGACAGGACAGGAAAATAGTTAAATAAAAACAAGAAAACAAAACAAAGTGTTGAAAAGTAAAATGTAGGTAGATTTATCTCCACTACACGTTTGTTTTTACCAGTAAAAAACATATTTATACATCTGATACAATTCAGATCACCTTCAAAACTCAGTCACACACCCAGGGCCGTTTCAAGACATTTTGGGGGCCAAGGCAAAATGCCCCCCCCCCCCCCCCCCCCCCATAACTGGGCTCCCCAGAAGCCTCTGTGTAATTCATACCCTCTCCAGTAGTGTTAGTTATCCAGTGTTTATAAAAGCCCCTCAGACATTACTGACATGTTCTAATATTATCAGATGAAAAACTAAATTATCAGACATGCTGTCTCATCTGCTTCTTTTCTAAACTTGCAAAAAGTAACAAAACCGTTTGAAAGCCACTATTTGTGGATTCTCTGAAAGTTTCCATGGAGTGTGTGACAACTTATTTTTTTCATTGATCCTATCGTCTAATCTCACAGCTGAAACAAGCATCCTTAATAATCTGTGCACAGGAAGCTTACCGATGCTGTAGTAAAACAAAAGGTATAATAATTTATTATTAATAAAACCTTGTTGCAGCACTAAAGCAGAAAAATTAGATTTTGCATTAAATATGCAAAATATTTACATATGAATTGTTTTAGAGCCCTTTTATTGGCAGAATCTGATATTAATTTAGTTCTTACAAAAAATGGGTCCCAACATGGTTTGTGTGGCGTTGCCATAGTGTGACGTCATAGGCACAGATCCCCTGTCCTCTTGTTTGGAAATGGAAATATGATCACCCTACATTAAACAAACTGTCCACCCGGGCTTTTGCGCTGCACAGAGACTCTTCGCTGCCTACGACTGAACGTCAGTTGAGAGTCAGTCTCATGCAGACTAACCAATGAAGAGAGGGCCTCAAGTTAAGACCCTCTCCTCATTGGTCAGTCCACACGAGGTGGGTCAAAGGTTACTCTGGGCGGGTTACGTGTTGTCAGGCATTCAAGTATTGAGTATATTTACTGCATATTACAGTAAAATATTCTGTATGTGACCACATTATGGTGATCCTTGGGTTGTGATGATGGAGCCCTTGAATATTGTTGCCCAGGGTACAACAAAGTGTTAATCTGGCCCTGGTTCCGCCGTCACATTCCCGCAGAAACTGGTTGATCACACCGAGGCCAGACTACTAGCATGTGGTTTTACAACCACAATGTCCTCAGAAGCAAAAACGTTTTTAAAAGGGAGGGAGGAGTCCTAACTGTTGCTGCAGGCGTGTTGTGTGAGAGTGCAGTTATATACTGGTTAATATATTTTTGGGTTCAGTTGCTTTCATGTGGCCTAATGTGAGTCTATTTGGGATCACTGGAATGATCAGCAGCATTTCTTGATGTGACTTTATGGCAGTTGCCCAGGGCATCACACAAGGAGGATGGCATTCATTTACTTTTGTTTTATTTGGTATTTTTTCAGTCATTTTTGGAAATAGTGATCAATTTTGATTAATTCACAGCCTATGTTTAATTACATTTAAAAATTAGTTGTTTGACATCCCCAGTTATAATAAATGTCAACAGATGAGATCAAACAAAACAGATGAGAATTGCCCTTAAGCTGTTTAACTTGGACCAAGCATTTTAGGTCACAGATAGATGTAGCTTATAGGGTCTCTGTCTATACACCTTATAAGACAATTTAGGTGATGGCATGTTGTTTTTCTGCTATTGAACTGTTTTCTAATAATGTTGTGTTAAATAAAGTGAAGGAAGGAGAGAAATAACATTTCCCTAGCAGTTTTTAAAAATTTCCCCATGTAATCCGATTAATCGATTATCCAAATAATCGTTTGTTGCAGCCCTAAGTGAAAGGTTCAATGTTGGCAACACTGACTACAATCATGGTATGATTGTCAGAGCTGATGAAGTCCGTCTCGCTATAGAGAAAATGTCGTTAAACAAAGCTTGCGGCCCGGATCAACTATCAGCAGAGCACATGAAGTACGCTAGCTGTAGAGCTCAGGTGTTGCTTGCATTGTGCTTTACCGGCTTTTTGAAGCATGAAATCTTGCCTGACCATATGTTATCTGTTCTCTTAGTCCCTATAGTCAAAGAGAAAACTGGAAAAATCTCCTGTATTGATAACTACAGGCCTATTGCGATGGCAAGTGTGGTGTCCAAGGTGTTTGAGCATATTTTGCTGGAAAGACTGCAGAATTTTATAACTATGACAGAGAATCAGTTTGGTTTTAAAGGTAAACTTAGTACTGACTTGTGTATTTATGCTTTAAAAGAAACTGTAAGCAAATACATGAGGCATAATACTTCTGTTTTTATGTGTTTTTTAGACGCCTCTAAGGCCTTTGACAGAGTCAATCATCAGAAATTATTCATCAAGCTACAAAACAGAGGGGTCCCTTCTTACCTAGTTAGGATTTTGCACTTCTGGTACTCTCATCAACTAATGCAGGTAAGGTGGGGGACAGAAGTGTCTGAACCTTTCTCTGTATCGAATGGAGTCAGACAAGGCGGGATTCTGTCTCCTGTCCTTTTTAACCTGTACCTTGACGAGCTGTCTGTTACTCTGAATGATAGTAAGACTGGATGCTTGGTGGGTGACCGACTGGTAAATCATTTAATATATGCAGATGACCTAGTCCTCATGTCTCCCTATAGCGCAGGCCTGCAGCAGCTGCTCAGGGCATGTGCTAAGTATGGTGAGCAATTTGACATCCTGTTTAACCCTAAAAAGAGTGTGGTTATGATTGCTGCTACTAAAGGGGACCTGAAGCTTAATTTTCCATCTTTTAACAAATCAGGTCCTCGAAGTGGTAAGCAAAGTAAAATATTTGGGGCACATTTTAAGAAGTGACCTCTGTGATGACGAGGACATTAAGAGGCAATGCGGTAAGCTGTACATGCAGGCTAACACTCTGGCACGTAACTTTGGCATGTGCTCAGATCCTGTTAAAGTGTCCCTCTTTCGTTCCTTTTGTACTCCTCTCTATACAGCCCACTTGTGGTGCAACTATAGTAAGGTAGTAATGAAGAAGCTTCAAGTGGCTTATCAGGATGCTTTTAGAATCCTCATGAAGCTCCCTAGATGGACTTCGGCAAGTCACATGTTTGTTGTGAGTAACATCCCTACTTTTCATGCGCTTCTGAGGCTCTTCATGTACAAATTCATCTGCCGACTGAGTTTTTCAGCTAACGCGGTTGTTAGAGCGCTGTCATCTTTATCTTACAGTGACACGAGGTACTCCTCAGTCCTTTTTAAACATTGGAACAACTGCCTATACGGTTTGTAATTAGAATGTGTTTGTATTTTATTTTTATTTTTTATTTTTTAATTTTTTATTTTATTCTTGTTATGGACATATCCCTTGTCTGAAATAAAGTTTGATTGATTGATTGATTTTTTTAACAAGCTTGTAATTTTAACTTCAGTAGTTCTAACTAAAATACTTTAAACATGCACGAAGACTGGACATGAACGTTTTGTATGGACAACATTTTCATATACAAAAAATACGATCAGGGTTGGCTAGGTTTCAAAATATGACAATATAATTAAATTGTAATATTGGGTTTGTTGTGTTTAATCTGCACAGATAGTGTAGCGTTTTTTTTTTGTCTATGCAAACAAATATTCCAATTTAACTTAATTTCATAAGACGTTTTGTCAATGGTGATCCATTAACTGTCATAATTGATAAATATATGTAATTGAAATGAAAAAAAAAAGTTTTCTACTTATGCATTCACATAATGCAAATGAAACTAGTACAAACAAGCATAATTTTTATTTTACACTGCAAAAATTGAATTGTCACTGTATTAAACAGCAACATATGTACACAACTGCATTTTCATCATCACAATTTGAAATAATTGCTTATTGAATCAATGATATGTCCTCTTCCCTTACAGTTGTATCAATCTGCACTTTAGTGATATTTAAAACAGGTGAATCCAACTGTTGGGTTCAGGTGTTTGTTCCCTTGGTTTAGTCGATGTAAAAACACCACACATTCATACAAAAAACAATTAGTGTAAAAGCAACTGATTTCTTGTTTGTTGTTTTTTTCATGTCATGCTTGTGCACAGACAATATAATTCCATTAACAGTTCCAAAACCATTTACCTGAGAGTTAACAATGAACAAAGTTAATAAAAACAATGCTTCCAGATCATCCAACACTGGGTTAGTGCATTAATAAAAAATATACTAAATGTACATGAAATACCAGTAAACATTTTCTGATTACCCGTTTAAATTGTACGTTTCATGTATGTTCAAATACAACTTTTTGTTCCTCAGACAGTGCAGTTGCAGGTTTCATTATGCAGACACAGGGAAGAGTTTAAAGGTGTAAAGATGTTTTAGTGCATTTGGCTCAGAGTACAGAGGGGAGGGGATTAACCTGCAGTGGTGAAACTGAACATCTCAAACTCCAGCAGAAATAAAGTGCTGAACGAAAACAGGTGAGATAAAAAGGGTACCAGATCAGAAACTGTATGTTCAGCTACAAATACTTACAAAAAACATGTAAAGTTCCAGACAGGAAGAAACCTCTAAAGTGTTTCCAGTTTATTATTTTAAAAAATGGTGTAGTTGCAGTTTAATTCTTGTTGTGATGCAGCTCCAATGTTCGGTGGTGGTGCAGGAAGGATGATTCAGGTCTGTCAGACTTTACGAGGCAAGAAAGGAATCTGTTCTTTCCTACTGTGTGTCTCTGTAGTTAGAAAAGAAAAAAATAATTTCATGATTTATTAGACAAGAAAATCCCATTATTCATAATAAAGCCATTAATTAAAAGTGCGTTTCAACGTTTCTTCACCAGAAGTTGCATCTGCAGCTGTTTTAATATCCAATCATTTCATTTTCTCAAAACGGAAAATAAAATGTGAATACTGTAAATTACAGGAAGACTAGGCAGCTTGGGGGGTCTGAGTGATGTTTCATTCACCCTGTAAAGGGTCATTTTATCCCATACTGGCTCAAGAAATTCATTTAGAAATATGAAAAAGTTGCTAAAATATCTTTTTAATCTATTTTGACATTAGCGTGCATTTAAATCAATGTTTTCATTGTACTGAAAGGTAAGTTCACATTACCGTGTCTGGAACTGGAATGTTTCCTGCAGAAAACAGTAAAGAAGAGGAGTATGTCATCAACATCATTAAACCAAACAAAGACTAATATTTATTTTTAAACAACTGCTTTTCTTACAACTGAATGACGTAGAGACAGATCATGATCAAAACAGAGATGACATCCAATGAGATCCATATTGCCATGTAGGTAGAAGGTGTCTGAAACACACAAGCATCCCCAAAAGGTCAAAGAGTGTTGCACTTCTTGGAAAGACAAAATAATGTGGTAAACAATGAAACTGCATGTATTCAGGTGCAGGGGTGCCTCCAGAAATTTTTGATAGGGGTGACCAGATGGGGCCAAGAAATTTTTGGGGTGGCCCACCAAATTGGTCCTTGCAACTCTGGTAGAGTTTAGCATGTGGCGATGTACTGCATTGCTGCTTTATTCATTTTTATTTTTAAAAGTCCATATCCAAAACATTTAACTTAAATTTTACAATCACAAACATTTCAGAAACATATATTACAGTTATTTCAAATGTTTCACATTTATTTATTTATTATTTAATTCACCTGTTGCTGTGTTCACAAAAAACTATGGAGACTTGAAAATCTTTAAATGGTGAGCAGCAGAAACATATGTATTATTTTATTCTGATTATTTCTTTACTAATTAATTGTATTATTTTTATTTTGTTTTACAATTATGTCTTGATAAATAAATGAGATCAATTTATAGTTTGAGTAAACATTAATATGATTTATTAACACTGGCTGGGGGCGGAGCAATTCTCTAGAGGTGGCCCTGGCCATCCCTTGAGGGCGCCATTGTTCAGGTGACACTAACAGAGTCAATAAACAGCTGCAGTAGGTGTGTGTGGAGGGTGTTTCTCACCATGACCCAGTCAGGATGTTCCATGTCCTTCAGAAGGTGGCAGGAGTTGGTGGTGACGGAGCTGGCTCCTGCACACCACAGCAGAGAGAAAAGCCATTGTTCATTAACCACCCACAGGTTCACCGACACGTTCTGTCTCCGAAGTTCTCTGTCGGATAAAAAGTCATCATCAGGAACACGTGCACAACATGTTAATCCAGTAGTCTGCAGCTGTGGGAAGTTAGATGAATCAAAACATAAAAAATCCCTTCCTTTTAGCATCTCTTTTGGATGTTTGTTTGGACCCCTGTGTTAATTAAAAAGCGCTCGTTTGTGTTGGCTCTTGTGTCCCGAGCAGTTGCTGCTTTGACGGTGCTTATTATCCTTCTGTTGCTATGGGGAGATGTGTTTGGTTTACTGCAAAGTGCAGGTGGGTGGGATGTTTCACAGTGACATCTGCATCAATGCAGAACATCATACTTCAGTCTGCGTTGGTAATATTGGGGATTATTGCAAATAACGTAGCACCGGTGTTTATCACAACACGCCCTATAGGTTAAAAAATAAATAAATGAATTGTAAGTCGCTTTGGGTAAAAGCGTCTGCTAAGCACATAAACATAAACATTTAACCTCCCACTGTCTTTATGGGTAACCCAACGAGGAAAGTTGACCATTGAGCAGGATTGATGGTTTATCCCTTGAGGTCCACGTGGCAGGGGTGAGGTGGAGCTCACTCCTCACGCCTGCCACATCGACCCAAGGGATAAACCATCAACCCTGCTCAATGGTCAACTTTCCTCCCGGGGTCACACCCATTAGGACAGTGGGAGGGTTAACGTTGTATTTTTCTCATGCAAGCTCTTTTCAGATGTTCAAAGTTCTTTGAAGCATTTAGAAATTAGTTTCTAAAGCTGAGTTGATCTGTTGTGAAAGATGTGGCATGATGCCTTCTGCACATGTTAATTTTCATTACAGTCATTAAAGGGCTTCCATGTTTTTATGATTTTCATTTTGGGATCTCTATGTTGAATGTAGTGAAATTAACTTTGACACTACCTATTAATAATGACCAATAAGATGTGATGATTCCACATGAATATGAAATATCAACCTGATTGATCTTTGAATGTTAAATCAGAAGATTATAGTTACTTTTACTTGTTCAGGGACCACAAACACAACGTATTAATTTAGACAGAGTCAAGTATATCAACATTCCAGCCATCCAGCCACTAGAGGGCGTTTCAGTTCTTTTTAGCTTCAATACTCCTCGCTTCCTCTTGCCTTACAGTGTCCCTACAGTATGCTGCAAAGTTCTGGAACCCAAGTTTTTCATTTTTATTTGTGGTTTTTAGTGGTCGAAGGTTACAATAGACTACTGCCAATGTGTATATATGTGTATCTTTGTTGAAATCAAATCAAACTTTATTTATATAGCACTTAATCATACGATGAATGTTACTCAAAGTGCTTAACAAATTCAAAAGGCCCCGCATACCCACATTCCCTCCCATCCCCAGAGTTTAAAAAAAACAGTCTGAGAATAAAAACCCCTTCACCACACACAGACAGAGAGAGAGAGAGAGAGAGAGAGAGAGAGAGAGAGAGAGAACTGAGTTTAGATGAGCCAGACCAGCTAAGATAAGGAAACGCCATCAGGGAAGCCATCGGCCCCGACAGCAGCAGATCCACAGCAGCAGCCGAGGCACTGACACAGGGTGCCCAGGGCAGGGAGGGTGGAGAGCCCCACCTCCAGCCAGGCACACCTGGAAAGCACCCAGGCCGCCACAGCTGACCACCCTTATTTTTCTTCAAATTGTTCTCTTAAGAGTTGGTGCTGCTGTTACAAGTGATTTTCCCCACTGTGGGATCATTAAAGTCTATTCTATTCTAGTTGAGATGACTTGTTTCTAAAATCTTTTAAAGGCGTTGAACACTCGTTTAAAGGGGCATCATGGAAGTTTGACAGCCAAAACATGTATAGAAATAATAAATTTCTTCTGCATACATTCTCCTGCAATGCCCTGGTCCTGTAGAATGAGCCCTGGCATTTTTACTGTGATTGCCTGTTTTTCTGTAAAATCACAGAAAAAGAGAGCTGCTCGGGTCGTGCAGGCTGCTTCATGCACGTTCACGCTCAGGCATAGCCCTCCGAACCGTTCTTTGAACGTTGTTTCAGCTGTGATCAGGGATATAAATGTTACAGATACAGCAGTCACCACTTGTGATTTAGCTCGCCTAGTAAAAATTCGGGCTTTTGTGCAGAAGACCCAGGTTCAATTCTGATTGTGAACTTTGGTTGTTTTAGAATTTCATTTTTACATTAATGATATATTTTTTTACAGTAAGATGTCCAAATTTTTATTTGAGACTCGCTGAACGGCATTCAATTCACAGATAAAAAAGATGTGGGTTCAACTTTAATTTTGGAACAATTTTTCAAGCAAGGGAAGGGAATGATCTGAGGATGCAGGAGGACTGACCCATCTTAAACCTTTGTCGGCTGTGCTGAAGAGAAGAGAAAGGTACAGAACCAAGTTATTTAATTAATTAGCTGCGCGTTCTCCTGTCCTCTGTCCTCCGGGCCACCCACACACACACACACACACAACGGACTGTCTCAGTTGTTATTTTCGTTAAGGAGTGTGCACGTACAGCATGCGCGCCTTGTGCACAAGCCTACTAGTGAAGCTGCCGTTACGCTTTTGGCCTGAGGGGGCAATCGCGAGCATAAAAATTCAAAACTCCATAAAGTCCCTTTAAATAACACATTTGTGGTGGTCTCTAGTAGAAATGAATACCGTGCAAATTGAACTCTGGGGGGAGGGGTGGTACCAAGAAGTGCCTGGAACAGCACAGACAAATGTGCTGCAGCAGACGGCAGGATACGGAGTCTTATTTCTTGATATATAGACATCTGGTCTCTGGATAACAGCAATGCAACTCTATCACTTGTTGATGTTTTATCTCTGCAAATAACAAGCCTGGAGGAGTTCTGCTGTGTGGTTTAGATGCTAATGCTAATGGTTAGCTTCTACTAGCCAACACGTTCAATGCCGTTTCTTGGACACTAAATCAATGACAGCCTCATCGCGATTCAAGATGGGTGAGTCCAAGCGACTGTTTGACGTAGATCTGTCAGGCTTTTCTAATCCTAGAGTTTCACAGTATATTTTCTATCAGAAGCTAATGCAGGAGATAGGTGTAGGAGACTATTTTCATGTTCAGCCTGCATGAAAAACGGTAAAAATATGTTTTTCAGTGTTCTCCAACTTTAAAGTTTGCAAACACCAGATGTGAATTTTCAGAATGTAAGAAATCATTTAAGTCTCTATATTTCCTTCTAAAAGATCACTTGAGTACAAATGATCCCAGTCTACGACAGTCCTGGTAAATGTTTGCAAAAATCAGGGTTTGAATTTACTTTTCAATAAGTAGATCTCTTGGCAGTTTTGCTTACATTGCAATCATTTTGTCCCTGTTTGAGTCTTTTTTAAATAAAGCTTCAAAATGAAATAAACTTCTATATTCTTATTCTCGTCTTTTAAGTATAAACTCAGCTGATTGTTTTTAATTTCTTCACTCTGGATTCATACAAAACAAATTCAGCAGCAATTCTTTCCTGCAACACTGAAAACATAACAGATTCTTCTGCATGTCATCTAGCATATCTGCATCCTACCAAACTTTGCAGGCCTATGCAAATAGAACAGATAAAAAAATCCCAGCAGGTTTGGAGCGTCGTAACTTTTCTTCATTCATGCAAGTTTAAACATCATCAGTAATGAGTTTTAATGTGCTGTGGTAGTGAGAACTGTTCCATAAAAGAACACAGCAGCAAAGGGTCGTGTTGCTGCTTCAATGCAACCCTGATGTGAAGTCCCTAAGGTGTTCCTGATGCAATACCTCATGGTCTTCTTCAGACATGTTGCAACAATAATTTTCATTCCTCTGCAAGTGTTCTTGTGGCTGAACTGTTCATCGGTTTAACAACACAGGGCGTCATTTGAATCTGCATTCCCTGAAGGTCGATATTACACCTCTACAGTATATTAAGCACCAGCTGTGTCTAGACATGCTACAAACACCACTAATACCCTAACAACTGTTCGCACTCCCTGGCAATTATTCTATCTGCAAATCTCAACACTACTATTTTACCTGATTTTATCCCTACTCAGGGCATTGTAAGCCACATTTAGGTAGCGCCCGGTGTTATTAATTAGGTCACTTTCATTACTGTAGACCTGGATGAAGCCGGGAGCTCTTCGTTTGACATATTCTCTTCGGTGTGGAGGAAGCCACAAAATCTATGAAGAGAAAATAACTTTTAAAATGTTTTATAATGAAACATCTTCATGAGAATCCACAAGAATGATCAGACTTACCAAACTTTGGTTGATACCAGAATCTAAGATGATGTCTACTGTGATCTCTGTATCGTTTTCCCCAGAACTATAAAGGTCAAATATCACAGAGATTTCGTGTTGTTTGGCGAGTTGAAGGAGCTGAAGCAGCGAGGGTATGACCTGATTTCTGGCTGTCATTTTATCTTCCGCTGACAACTGGGAGACTGTCTGATGAGGATCTGTCTGAAAAGTCAGATGTGGCTTGTTTATGGTTTGTTTGTTGGTTTTTTCAACTTTCAAGTGTGAACAGGCTCTGTCCTTACCTTTAGGAACCATTCACCTGCATTCAGGCTCTGCAAAAAATTTAGGGTCACATCTGAACTTTGATTGAAAGTTGTGTGTGGAAACTTTGCTTTAACGTTTGTTGTTCTTTCCAAAAACCCAGGCTTATGGTCGTGCATCAAAAAGGCAGCCTTGTCTTTACTGAAGAAAAAAAAATATTTGCATTAATTATGAAAATATGCTGAAAAACAACTTTTTCTCCACTCAGATTGTTTTGTTTGATATAATCTACACTTATTTATTTGTCCAAATAAAACTCAACATTCTGAAAGGACATTTAATAACATTTTTTTTCATAAAGGTACAATAAGTAATATTGCATTATAATTTTACATTTTTGCACCTTTATGGGGAGAAAAAAAGTTTCAAAAGATCTGTGCATGTGTGTCTAGATTTGTGCATGTGTAACTAAACTTGTGCGTGCGTATCTAGATTTGTGTGTGTGTAACTTGATTTGTAACCTGTGTTTACATTTTCGTGTGTAATTTGTTACACATGATTTGTACAAATCATTGAGTATGCACACGCAAATCCCCAGGTACACACGGACAAACTACATTACACACAGATCAGTTTACAAGTACAAAAATTCTTTTGAGACTCTCTTCACACCTGACTGATTTGTGCGTACATGGTGCATTTGAATGCTGGGTGGAATCTTGGAAATCCAAATTTCCTTTGGATTTAGTCTAAACTTGTGTTGACAGGACAAATATGTTTTTCTGTGGAAAAATAGAGTATCTCAGGATCCTGTAGTTATAAAAGATAAACCATAATTTAATTTTTAATCATCTACAAATGTTTATTTAGACATGTGTGTGTGTGTGTGTGTGTGTGTGTGTGTGTGTGTGTGTGTGTGTGTGTGTGTGTGTGTGTGTGTGTGTGTGTGTGTGTGTGTGTGTGTGTGTGTGTGTGTGTGAGCCATGAAAACATAGTGAAAGGGTCATAAGAAATGACTAATAAACGGCAGAGTGGTTCTCTGACTGGAAAAAAGCAGGGTTCAAAAGAAGAGAAGGCACAAGAAGATGGCACAGCATCATAGGTCACACTAATGGGCCATTCCCACCTGTACCGGGTCGGCCCGGGCCGGGTAGCCCCAGTCGGCCCCAGCCTGGCCCGGTTGATTCCACACATCCTTGCCTTAAGCCCATGTGGGCTGATTCTACCCACCAATCAGAGGCTTGCTCTAATGGAAGGTGTGAATTTGCTGTCAGCAGTGGGCGTGTTGGCCCTGGTCGGCCTGAAGCAGTACCCCTCGGGAAGAGGGCCGAGAATGAGCCTTGGTTGGCCCGGGAAAATTCCAGGCCACCCAGATATGTAAACAACCTATGCTACCCGGCCCGGGCCGACCCGGTACAGGTGGGAATGGGGCTTATGTCACACCCATCTATTTTCAGACCCCGGAAGAATGAAAGAATGAATGCAAGTCAATGGTGCTGAAAACACTCTTTTCTAATTCCACTTGTTATGTGCCATGGATTTCACATATGATGTCCGTGAATAAAACTTGTAAACACAAATTTTGACTAATTCCAAAGGAAATTCAAGTTTCCCAGCTTACACCCATTATTCAAATGTGCCATGTACGCGCAAATCAGTCGGGTGAGAAAATAGTCTCAAAATGATTTTTGTACTTGTAAACTAATCTCTGTGTATTGTAGTTTTATCCGTGTTTACCAGGTGATTTGTGTGTGTGTGTACTCAATGATTTGTATGTGTAGAAGCTGAAGTTACACACGAAAATGTAAACAAGTTACAAATCAAGAGTTACGCACACACAAATCTAGATACACACATACACACACAGATCTCGAGACTTTTTTCTCCCCATACACCTTAAACTGGCTGTGCGTCTGAGGTGTGTGTGTGTGTGTGTGTGTGTGTGTGTGTGTGTGTGTGTGTGTGTGTGTGTGTGTGTGTGTGTGTGTGTGTGTGTGTGTGTGTGTGTGTGTGTGTGTGTGTGTGTGTGTGTGTGTGTGTGTGTGTGTGTGTGAGTGTGTGTGAGTGAGACAGGGACAGAGACAGAGAGAGAGAGAGAGAGAGAGAGAGAGACTTCTATTTTAGCATTGTTATTTTATTTTACTCATTTTACTGGCTCTTACATGTGCTGTCTTTAGTGAGCACAGTCAATTTTGTTGTACACCTGAGCAATGACAATAAGTTATCTAGAATCTTGAAGTAACAAACGACACCCTGTGGTCAAATGTGGGTACTGCAGTTCTGCAGTTCAGTTGTCTAAACTAAAAGTCAGTTTCTCATTCCTGTTCTGTGAGTTTTATGGCTGGTGCCAGTTACGGATCAGCAACAGAAGATTCTTGATGACAAGCAAAGACGAGTCATACAAAGTAACTTGATAAGTATATATAGATATTGTCATATCTGGTGTTGGCACACTTGGGTGTTTTACGGTAGGGAGCAGTTACTAAGACAACTCTTTGCCTCTAACTCATTGTTAGCTTAACGTTAGCCGCTAGCCTGCATTACCTGTGGCTTCTTAAAGTACATTTTATTTATACAGCACTTATCACAGACAGAATCAAAAAGTGCTTCACATAGATCAAAACAAAATTAAACAAAGTCATAACATCATAATGAAATTATTTTTTATGGTAAGTCATAAAATTATAAAATATCAAAACAAATGAAAGATGATTGCAATTCGAGTTAAAAATAAGAAAACAAAGGATTTAGGTAAAAGAAGCTTTAAATAAATGGGTCTAGCTGTTTTTTTTTAAGTGCCCAGTTTGTCAATGCTACGTAAGAATAAAGGAAGATCGTTCCGAAGTCGAGATCACCTCGACTTTCATATCTGGTCTTTGGAACTTCTAGAAGGTTCTGGTGTGTGGACCTGAGGGCTGGGGTTGGAGCATAAGGCTTTAACATTTCTGTATGGGAAGAGCTTGACCATGTAGAGCACTGAAAGTTATAGTCAGGATTCTAAAATGAACTCTAAAGTTAACGGGTAACCAGTGCAGAGATGTTAGAATAGGAGTGATGTGTGCTCTTCTGTTTGCTCCAGTTAGGAGCCTCGCTGCAGAGTTCTGAACCAACTGAAGGTGCTCAAGGGCTTTTTTGTTGAAACATGTGGAGTGTGTTACAGTAATATAGAGGTACAAGAAACATGCTGGGCTTGCTCTTGTTTACTTGCATTGAGCAACTCTAGAGCTTTTTGCCTGCCAGAGTCTAAATACAAATGCTGGCGCTGCAGTATTAGATCTTCGCAGACTCTGCAACCTCACAGGCTCACAGATTTTAAACAAAGACTACATACCTATTTGAACATTTTGATAGAATAAAAACTGACAAGCCCCAGCCAACTGAGAATAAAATCAATTTCAATGCAACCTTCCTTCCATCATGACAGACATTAGACCATTTTGTGCTTATTTTATAGTAGAACTCTTACAAATTGCTCCTTTAAGTTGTAAGGAATAAATAATTAATGCAAAACATGCTTACGAAGCTCTATGCACAAAATCCTTCACAAAAAACTCAGAGCCGTTTTATTCTCGACAGTTTCAGTAACTTCCAGAATGAGCCGTTTCAAGGCTCTGTCACTTTAAGAAAACAAGCTGAAGCTAGCCACACCCACCCATCCCCTAGTCAGGTTGCTTTAATCTCAGTAACTCTGATATCTGGGACAGGCTCAGAGTAGAGCTGTTCCTCCAGCAGCAGCTCTGGCACGTGAGAAGCGGTTCTATTCTAATTTCCCTGTTTGTGACATCACATACGGGGAATTCTTTTGAAACAGCTTGTTTTAGGCACATATTTCCTAAAATCCAACATAACAGATTGACAGATTTGTTTTATCCATATTTGAAGCACAAAAGAATGCAAACTATTACTCAGGCACCAAGTGAAAAGATTTATGCTTTTCCTTCATACCTTATTTGCACGTCTGTTTCAAATGCCAGCACGCCACACTCGATGCTCTTGTTAAATGACATCAAGGTGTTCTCTGGGGCACTCTGAACACAACAATTTTAGAAAACAGATTATTTCCTGGTAGACAGCCATGTTTTGATGTCATTCTTTGGTTCAAATTGAGGGAACTTATTCCACGCAGGATGTCACAGCCACTGCCCTTCTTACACAATCCATCCAAGACAATACACACACACAGTGTTTTTTTAAGGCCAAATCAAGTTAAACAGGATGTTCACCATTGGTGCGCCTCTGTGGCCGATGAGTTTGGGTTTTTCAGGCAACTCCTCCACAGCTATCAAACATGGTGACTTGATAAGCAGGGGACACAGGAAGATGGCAGCTGACACGAATAGAAATATCAAAGCAATCAGGAACTTTGAACCTGGAAAAAAATAAAGCATTCTAGTTTTTTGTTTGTGTGAATAAAAAAGTACCTTTAATAGGGGGAAAATAAATAAATAAAGATTATATATGTATTTATATGTGTGTGTGAGTGTGTGTGTGTGTGTGTCATTAGATACATTATCTCTTTTTTTCCCTTCATTGGTTTGTTCCCAGCTTTGCTACATAAAACTACATCAACCCTGACACATGCAAGTTGTTTCAGCACCACATGATAAACACGAGCGGGGTGAAAATGCCTTTCTAAGATGGTCTTAGTCCTTCGTCTTGGCCAGAGAACCAGGTAAACATCTTTGTTAATCCTCCAAAAGCTGCTTGGGCAGTTTAAAGAAAAGAAATTGGATTAGATGTGTCAGTTGTGCAAGTGCTTTGGTATAAAAACAAAAACGTCAATAACTTCTAATCTTTAGGTTATTTGGTTGAAACTTGCTCTATAAAATTGTGGAAGAAGCAATACAGGCATGCACACGCAAAAAAATTAAAGGCTTCAGTATCTGTTTATCAAAAAGACTACCATCACCTGAAGGATTGCATTTTTCAAAAACCCAAAGATACCATCAACATCTTTAGAAATATTTAGTATTTTGGTTCATTCCTTGATTTAGAGTTTCAAAATCTGAAAGAAAACAGTATTTACAGGTGCTGGCCAGTAAATTAGAATATCATCAAAAGGTTGAAAATATTTCAGTAATTCCATTCAAAACGTGAAACTTGTACATTATATTCATGCAATGCACACAGACCAATGTATTTCCGATGTTTATTACGTTTAATTTTGATATTTATAGGTGACAACCAATGAAAACATCAAATCTGGTATCTCAGAAAATTAGAATATTCTAAAGGCCAATGAAAAAATGTTTGTTTCTCTAATGTTGGCCAACTGAAAAGAATGAACATGAAAAGAATGTGCATGTATAGCACTCAATACTTAGTCGGGGCTCCTTTTGCCTCAATAACTGCAGTAATGCGGCGTGGCATGGACTCGATCAGTCTGTGGCACTGCTCAGGTGTTATGAGAGCCCAGGTTGCTCTGATAGTCGTCTTCAGCTCCTCTGCATTGTTGGGTCTAGCGTATTGCATCCTCCGCTTCACAATACCCCATAGATTTTCTATGGGGTTAAGGTCAGGCGAGTTTGCTGGCCAATCAAGGACAGGGATACCATGGTCCTTGAACCAGGTGCTGGTGGTTTTGGCACTGTGTGCAGGTGCCAAGTCCTGTTGAAAGGTGAAGTCTGCATCCCCATAAAGTTGGTCAGCAGCAGGAAGCATGAAGTGCTCTAAAACTTCCTGGTAGACGGCTGCATTGACCCTGGACCTCAGGAAACAGAGTGGGCCAACACCGGCAGATGACATGGCACCCCACACCATCACTGACGGTGGAAACTTTACACTGGACCTCATGCAACGTGGATTCTGTGCTTCTCCGCTCTTCCTCCAGACTCTGGGTCCTTGATTTCCAAAGGAAATGCAGAACTTGCTTTCATCAGAAAACATAACTTTGGACCACTCAGCATCAGTCCAGTCCTTTTTGTCCTTGGCCCAGGCGAGACGCTTCTTGCGCTGTTTCTTGTTCAAGAGTGGCTTGACACACGGAATGCGACACCTGAATCCCATGTCTTTCATGAGTCTCCTCGTGGTGGTTCTTGAAGCGCTGACTCCAGCTGCAGTCCACTCTTTGTGGATCTCCCCCACATTTTTGAATGGGTTTGTCGTCACAATTCTCTGCAGGGTGCGGTTATCCCTAGAGCTTGTACACTTTTTTCTACCACATTTTTTCCGTCCCTTCGCCTGTCTGTTAATGTGCTTGGACACAGAGCTCTGCGAACAGCCAGCTTCTTTAGCAATCACCTTTTGTGTCTTGCCCTCCTTGTGCAAGGTGTCAATGATTGTCTTTTGGACAGCTGTTAAGTCAGAAGTCTTCCCCATGATTGTGGTGCCTTCAAAACAAGACTGAGGGACCTTTTAAAGGCCTTTGCAGGTGTTTTGAGTAAATCAGCTGATTAGAGTGGCAGCAGGTGTCTTCTATATTCAGCCTTTTCAGAATATTCTAATTTTTTGAGATACCAAATTTGGAGTTTTCATTAGTTGTCACTTATGAATATCAAATTTAAATGTAATGAACATTGGAAATACATTGGTCTGTGTGCATTGCATGAATATAATGTACAAGTTTCACGTTTTGAATGGAATTACTGAAATATTTTCAACCTTTTGATGATATTCTAATTTACTGGCCAGCACCTGTATATAATACTTCTACAGTTCACCCAGACAAGTAGATATCCCGGACCGTTTTACTTTATGTTTGAAGAAAAAAGAAACAAATTGTGCCCCGACGATGACGATGGAGGAAACGACATGACTTAGGGTTGATCTGTTGTCTCAGGGACTTAGATGGCTTTCAGACCTCATACCTTTCTTACTTTTTTACATAAACAGCAACTGAAGGTTGAGATTAAGATAAACTCCTCAGGTCAAATTTCATGTGCAGTCAGGTCTTAAGACTTAAAAATGTTTGAAAAACCTGTTCTTGTAACTGTCATTTTACCGAGCCTGGTGAAAAGTTGCTCTGTTCAGTTAGTGTTGATTCATACTTTCATTGACTCATAAAAGATATCTGTCGTGTACCTTTTTTGGCTGCGTTGAAAGATTGAAAGATAATCCAGCTGAGCAGCGTTAAGGCTCCAACAGCACCAAACTGCAAGAAAGGAGCTGTAGCCTACCAAGAGACCAACACCAAAATTACATGATAGTTACATAAAACTCAGTCTTGTTGCAAAATTAATATTTACACCTTGATCGGCTCTCTCACTGTACCTGGAGTAAAAGTGGTACAGTTGGCAATTCTTCTTTCCAACGGCAGGTAAATGCTACCCCTCCACCGATGAAGATTGCCATGCTGAGAAAGAGGAAGACCTGCACAGAGAATGGTGTACGTCTAGAAATCCCCCTGATGACAAGGGTGATCACATGACTACTAATCTTACCTTGTGCAGAACGTGTAGGTCAAGTTTTTCTCTCAAGGCAAGTTGGACCAGTGCAAAGAGCTACGATAGACAGCGAAAATCATTATTCATTAAATGAAAAACAGGTAACTTTCCATCACCATAAGAGGTATTTCTGAAAAGTAATGGGAAAAAATATATAATATTTTAAAATCATGATTCATAAAATCAGCAGAGAATCAGCTCCTCCAAATCCGAGACCATGGTCTTGAGTCAGAAAAAGGTAGAATGTCTTCTCCAGGTCAGGGATGAGGTCCTGCCCCAAGTATAGGAGTTTAAGTATCTCGGGGTCACGAGTGAGGGAAAGCTGCAGCACTAAATCGATGTCTGCAGTGATGCGGGCGTTGTACTGGTCTGTCGTGGTGAAGAGAGCGAGCTGAGCCAGAAGGCAAAGCTCTTGATTTACTGGTATATCTATGTTCCAACCTTCACCTATGGTCATGAGCTTTGGGTAGTGACCAAAAGAACGAGATCGCAGATACAAACGGCTGAAATTAGTTTTCTCCGCAGGGTGGCTGGGCTCTCCCTTACAGATAGGGTGAGAAGCTTGGTCATCCGGGAGGGGCTCGGAGTAGATCTGCTGCTTCTCCACATCGAGAGGAACCAGTTGAGGTGACTCAGGCATCTGGTTAGGATGCCTCCTGGACCTCCCTGGTGAGGTTTTCCAAGCACATCCAATAGGGAGGAGACCTAAAAGAGACCCAGGACACATTGAAGGGACTACGTCTCTCGCCTGGCATTGGGATTCCCCTGGAAGAGCTGGCCAAAGTGGCTGGGGAGAGGGAAGTCTTGGCCTCTTGATTTAGGCCGTTACCCCCGCGACCCGACTCCTGATAAGCAGGAGAAAATGGATGGATGGATTCATAAAATTCAACAGAATCAGAAGTTGTTGCTTTCATTTCTCTTCATGTGATTATTTACTGTGATCTCCAACAGGCGTTGTCCTCAAATTAAATCTTTAACAGCTCAAGTTTGGTGTTCCTGTGTAGTGTTACTGGTCTTCCAACCTGTACTGTGAGACCTCTTCAAATGGTCCAGAATGCAGCGGCGCGTCTGTTCTTCAATCAGCCTAAAAGAACACTTGTCTCCCTCTGTTCATTGAGCTCCACTGGATCCCGCTAGCAGCATGCATCAAATTCAAATTGCTAACACTAGCATACAAAGTCCTGGATGGTACAGCTCTCATCTACCTGAATCCTCTTGTAAAGACTTACATCACGGCCCGGCCGCTCCGGTCATCGAAGGACTGTCTGCTAGCTGTGGATACATCACGCTCAGGACAATCCAGGCTCTTTTCAGGTGTCGTTCCACCATTGTGGAATGACCTACCAAGCACTACCAGAACAGGGGCATCCTTGTCAATTCTCAAGAAACTCCTGAAGACCCTGCTCTTCAGAGAGCATCTTCTAAACTAGCACCCTCCCAGCACCCGTCCCCCACTCTACTACACACTCTATGTTCGCTTCCCTTTATGATTGATGATGCTGCCTCACTGCCACCCAGGATTGACTGAACAGTGTTTGTTGTTAGCCTCAAGGGCAACCTGCTGGCTTCATTATCACTTGTAAGTTACTTTGGACAAGCGCGTCTGCTAAATACATAAACACATAAAATATGTAGAGCTCAAATTTTAAAGAGACAGCTGACACCAGTTTACAGAGTTGAGCTTTAGGGGTGATAAAACTCAATTAGGAGATCAAAATATATTTCTTACACTAGATTCAATATAGACTACCATGAAAATGCTAAAGCCTTTAGGATAAAAAACAACACTGAGTACATTTGATAACATTCAGACATTAGTCCAAAACAAACAAACACCATTTAATTAAACTTAATTTGATCCATCACTCATAAAAAGCATGGAAAAATGGTGTTGCTATAAAATAAGAGAGGAGCTGTTGTGCAAACCAAGATGTCAAAACAAGAAGAAAAAGAGCTTCAAAATAAAAAGCACATAGAAGACATCACTAGAAGCAACAACACACAGCATGTAGTAGGGAGCCATGGTTAAAACTATTGTATTCTTTGCTTTATATGCTGCAGTCTTTCTTGCCCTGATGTAGGTGAAAGCATGCATCATTCAAAAGGTGTGGCAAAATATGTATGCACTAAGCAGGCTTCAAATGTGACATGAGACAAAATAATCGTCTTTATGTCTGTACTTTTTGTTGATTAAAAAAAAGTCCAACTTAAACAACAAATTAAAAGTTGGGGTCCATAACACCCCGTCATCGAGGAGAGGATTTTCTATGGGCCGGTCCCAATACTCGCACTTCCACCCTTGTGCCCCTAAATTTTGCATTCCCGTCCAGAAGTGCGAGTGCATATTGTGTCCCTATCCTCAAGTGTGGACATTGGCCCCGCCCCTTCTCCATCCATGATCTGCATTTTGCCAGAGCCTGCGTCGTTGTGAACTTTGGTGAGGGGTATTGTTCACAATCCACTGCTGCGAGAAATGTATTTAAGTATTTTTATCAAAATATTCTGTATTTTATTATTGCCTGCAGTTCTCTGTTGGAAAGATGCATCACATGTCTGTTGAAATACATTGTTAGCTGATAACGGTGATGGTGTGTATATTTGGACATGATATGCCAGCAATTTAAAGGTGAAATATGGAACATGAACACTAAAGGTAATCTAGTGTGTGGAGGTTGTAGAACAGAACAAGGTTTCCAGCCGTCGGGATTCCAGGTTTGCTGCCGATACGTGAAGTTTTTTTTATTTCTCAAATCAGTAGTCCACACTTTCATCACTTCACGGCTGGATTACTCCAACTCCTGCTTATACGGCATCAGTAAAGCAGCTCAATCTAGACTTCAGCTAGTCCAGAATTCAGCAGCTAGGTTCCTGACTGGAGTTGACAGAAGACAGCACATTACACCAATTCTAAAATCTCTCCACTGGTTGCCCGTTCATCTCAGGATCAATTTCAAAATCATGCTTCTCACTTATAAATCCCTGAACAGTCAAGCTCCTCCATATCTGTGTCAACTCGTCCATTACTACAATCCGCCTCGTGCTCTCAGGTCTGAAGATAAGCTCCTCCTAGCTCTTCCCAACGCACGTCTGAAAAGCCGTGGAGAAAGGGCTTTCTCTGTCTGTGCTCCCAAGCTGTGGAATGCATTACCACTACTAGTGAGGCAAGCACCAACAATTAGCATTTTTAAATCTCGCATGAAAACTCACTACTTCAACCTTGCATATAATACATAGTCATGGACCACTTTCGACATCTGCATTCTTTCTACAATAGAATGCACTATAATTAACATCTGTATTACTGTGGTTCTTTCATATGTTTTTTTATCTGTTGTTTCACATTCCTTTTGTGTTTTTAGTGTTTTACGACTGTTAGTTCTAGTATTTTCTTGTTTTCATTTTTTTCTTATAAACTATGCTTTAAATGTCATTCTGTACGTGTTAATTAACTGTAATCTTTTAATGTACAGCGCCTTGTCTGGTTGTAATGCCATGTTGAATGCGCTTTATAAATAAAATGGTATGGTATGGTATGGTATTTGGGTCCATCTGTTGTAGGCTTCACCTGTACTCACTCTGTATAGGAGACATATGCATGTTTGTTGATGTGTTTTTGGTGGGTTTATTTGTTGTAAACGGAGATCAGTGTCAAGTCAGGTGATCATGGAGAGATTTAACATCATCTCCAGCACCTGCTCAGATAATTTGGGAAAAGGAGGAGTGGGTGAGAGGGTTGCCGCATATTTTTGTTGACCGTCAGTTGATCGCTGTGATAGTTGTACTGTTTGATTTTGAGCATGTTATGTTTCGAGTTAATTGGAGTTACTTTAATAAAGTTTTTGGGAACCCAAGTTTGGAATCGCAGCTGATGTTTGTAAAGAGCGCGTCACGCCGGCCTGACTCAGCCTCTCAAGCTGCTTGTTTTAGATCTTTTATGGTCACTACTCTTCTAAGAAGGATATCGACATCTTTTGGGCTCAGAAGCAGCTGCTCCGCCATTTTCCACAGTGACATCCTCTCTGTGCCGATTGGATTGTTTGGCAACCCGCAATGGTCCCCTTATTGGCTGGCAGACATGAACATAAACCCAGTGTCGTTCCCATCAAAATAAATATTTAATAATTTTTTTTTATTAAAATATAGCTTTTAAAGGAAATGGTGTACATTCATTCTGCAGACCTCTAAATGTGCCATGCCATGTAGCGTTTTATGAAATTATTCCACATTCAACCTTTAATCCCTTTTTTCCCCCTCATCATTCAGTTTTAATATCATTTCAAGCAGCAAATTGGCACAAACAGCAACCAGCATCCCCATTTAGGAAGTTGTGGTTTATGATGCGGTGGTCACCGTCCTAATTCTGCAGCAATTTGAACAATTTTAGCATTACACCTCCTCTAAGTACACTTCACAGAGGACCCCTAGGCTGCAGTGTGGGTATCGGGACTGGGCATATAGCTTCCACGTCTGCTCCCCCTTCCAGAAAGAGCATAAAGTGAAGCCTCATACCACGCACAGATCGCTTTGTAGTGCTAACAGACAAGTAACGTTTTATATGTTACACCTCAGAAACACCTGCCTCTAACTGCTGAATTATCTCCTCGGCTTTCATTGGGTTCTGCAGGAGCTGCAATCTAGGGTGTTGTGCTAAGATGACTGTGCGTTAATGAGTGACCCTGCAGTGCATGCTGGGTACATGAGGAGCATTCTCGTGGATTAACAACACTCTTTTGGATACGAAAACTTTATCGGTCGATGCTCTAGGCTTGCATAAATTATTGTGAGCTTTTTATTATAAATTATGAAACAATACCTACTTAATATAACTGAACAGAGTCAGATAGTCAAGTATAAGCATTTTGAGGTTACTTCAAATTCTTCAAACTGCATACCCCAGCTTTAATGAACTGCACAGCCCTAGCATGAGATAGGGATCTAAGGAAATATTAAACAATTCTAATTCTGCCTCTTCGGGAGAAATGGAAACAAATTTAGTCCAGACTGATAAACTGAAAGCATGACACAGCAAAGTCAAAACCAAAGTGCATTGCTGCCACCTTAAAAAAATTTAAAAAAAAAAACTCTGTATGTAAAATTAAATAATTGTTCGTTCGAATTTTTGTAAATGAAATTTGATTTTTTTATCACTCTATTTAAAAAACAGATTTATATGATAATTTACAAGCATATATAACATAGCAGCTAGTGGTGGCTAATCCTGAAGGAATATCACATTTCTGATGGAATTGAAAGTCGGTGATGAAGGTAAAAGTTAATCAAATAGCTTCAGAACAATGCTCATTTCTCCAAACTGAGGTCATTTAAACAGCTAGCAAATAAATTGTTCACATTTCCACTTCAAAAGATCAGATCTGTTTATATCTGCTCTAGGGAATAACTAGTTATCCTCAATACTTTGTCTGTTTTAAACAGTTCTCACCAGCAGCAGCACACAGTAGCTGGTTAAGACTCCAGACATGATGAACACCACCATGAACCAGTTCACCCACATGTTCAGTACTGTGAACAGCTTCCTGACAACAGAACAGAGGCACGAATTAGACAAAGGCCATCAAGAAGGAGAGGATTCTCAGCTTGTGTGTGTGTGTGTGTGTGTGTGTGTGTGTGTGTGTGTGTGTGTGTGTGTGTGTGTGTGTGTGTGTGTGTGTGTGTGTGTGTGTGTGTGTGTGTGTGTGTGTGTGTGTGTGTGTGTGTGTGTGTGTGTGTGTGTTATTGATGATTACTCACCAGTTAAACATATCTCGGGAGTTATACACAGCCAGACAAATATATATCCAGCAGAGGGAGAACGCAGCAACCAGGCTGACAAAAAGGAACCAGCAACAAGACCACTGAAATGAATAAAAGCACTAAACAATGAATAAATACCGATTTGGACATTTGAACACTTAAGTTTCAAAGAAAAATGACACTGTGTTAAAGTAAGAGTTTAATTTCATTTGTGATGTGAAAAACCAACATTTTTACACTTGACTGCATGCCCTGCGTCCAGACAACTCAACAAAAAAACTCTGTAGGAAATCTCTAGTGTAAACACACCTGCTTTAATTTCTTTCTCCTTCACACACACAAAACATAGCACCCCCCCGCCTCCTTCATTAATCCTGTTCCAGATAAAACCCTCACAAAACCTGTCGGAGCCTGCAAGTTTGCTCGTCTTTCTTGGCACATAGTTTCTCTCTCTTTTCATCACTTCATCATCATTTCGGTTTAACAACAACCTTCCTCATAGCAAAACAAAAAATATTTCCAAGAAAAACTATACTCACTTTTTTGGTTCTCTCACTTTGCTTCCTCCAGTGGCAGCTATAGAAGCCTCGGCTGCAAACTCGGCAGAAGCCATCTTTTTGGGTCATCCCGGCGGATTTTTGTGGCCAATAAACAAAATGCAGATTCTGTTTGGAGCAAGCAAGACCCAGTTCTCTTGTTGAGGGTGAAGCAGACCCAGATTATTCTTTATTTGGGCTCGTTCCTATTCAACCTATGAACCATAAGGAGGAAAAAAAGATGATTGTGACAGAAAATCAATGAGAAGGGGGTTTTCTTTGAGTGTTAAAGCAATCCCCGTTCAATAAGCCCCTTATAGGGGCCCATGTGCAGAAAGAGGGAGTGTTGGTGCTTACAATAGCCAGCACCATGAGGTATTCAGAGCACAGCTCAGTCCGGCCTGGTGTGTGTGTGTGTGTGTGTGTGTGTGTGTGTGTGTGTGTGTGTGTGTGTGTGTGTGTGTGTGTTCAAGCCTTTGCAGCACAAATGGACATAGTGACAGGCACAACCGTGCACAGACACCACATTTAGAAAAGGAAACCTCAAAACAGATTTCAAAAATAAAGCAATCATTCTGAGGGATAACTGGGTTTAAACACATGGGTCAGACCTCCTTAATAAACTTTTTGGTGTTAAAGGTTGTGGCCAATGATGATATTATATGTTGGAGATCTTTGAATGACTTCAGTTTTGAGAAGCAGATTAGTCTAGAATAAACAAAAGAGCTAATGGCTTCAAACCAGCACGGCTGTGGCTACAGTAGCTTACCATCACCGGCAATGAATGTGAGGGTGCGTGACTAATGGAAAGTTCTTTGAGTGCTGAGAAAAGCGTAATATAAATCCAATCCATTATTACTGTCATCATCATCATTATTATCAATAATAATAATAATACCTTAGATGAACATTTCATTGTCTTTTGGTGGAATTATGTAATTCTTGCTAAAAGTAGAGGCCAGCTCTGAAAAGGTACATTTAAAATATAAATAACCACACGTTGTGATACTTACGGTAGTGTAAATGTGTTTAAAACAAGGGATGATTCAGTGATTGTGTTTGTTTCATCCCCAGTTCAAAAATCAGGTCTCATTAAGAAATTATTTAGCCTTTATTCATGTTTCTAAATAGAGACCTGCAGAATACAGACCACAATAAAGTCAATGAAATCAATAGAAACTGATTCATGTAAAGGATCACAGAACAAGGACAGTTTTTCTACATGGATCATGGGATTTGTTCCATTATTCCTTCAAACTAATGTCTAAAATCTGTCATTCATTTAGTTCAATGAAGCTGTGGTCTGTGGTATAAATGAATGCCTGAGTTGTTTTTTGTGGAGAAAAAAAAGCTCTGGCGCTCCTGTTCCAGGAAGTAGTTGATTACAGGAGTGGGGTAACTGGCAGGAAGTTTTACTCATTATTCATGACATGCAAATCAGAAAAAAGACCTCTGATTGGCTAATGGTGACAAAACTCTTCCACTGCCTCTGTTCGCTCTTTCATTGGCTGAAAGAAAATTCAACATTGATGTTTTATCTCCGTAACAACATGCCTGAATGTGTTCTGCCATGTTGTGGAGATGTAATTTGCCAGTGGTTAGCTTCTACTAGCTGAGAGGTGGTCTGCTCTCTCCTCACTGCTAAATCAACAACAACCAAAGTGGGCGGGGCCATGAACACTCACTTTCACAGTGACGTAAATCTGAGTGGCTTTTTCTGACCTGATCATTTTCCTGTCCATTTTCCTTCACCGACTACTACAGGAAATAGGGGTTGGTGACAGTTTTCTTATTCAGAATGCTTATGCAACTCAGAGATTAAACGTATAAAAATATACAAGTATCATATGGTTTCTCAGTGAATGAGATTTTTAACTTAACCTGTCTAACTTTTAAACACCGTTTTGAACAACTGTTTGCAAACACTTTACTTTGATCTGGGACTGAGGTTGTAGTTGGCCAGGATGCAGAAACTCCACCAGATTATAAAATAAACAGCATTCCAAAAGGTGTTTATCCATTTAATTGAAAACAGAGACTGTAAAGGAAGCTCCATCCTGTGTTTGACACAAATAACAATACAATGATACAATGAGCTCTTTTTTCCTCAGTTTGTCTTCAATTGAGTAAATAAACTTTAAACATTATGCTCAAAACATTTTAAATGGCTCTTGATGAAAGTTGTCCTTTTTTTCTGACCCTCTAAAGAGCAGGTGACTTTTTATGACATGACTGGTATAAAACCATCGAAAGTAGGTCAACAATAGAGATGGGAGAGCTGAGTGTCACCACAACAATAACAAAATCCTTGATCTGGACAAAGATCTGCAACCTAAGATCAGATCGGGACATAACCGCGGGAACGACTTTAGAGTTTCTGAAGATCGTAACTAGCCACCTTGAGACTAGCTTCTTTAGCTTCTCTAAACCAAAGCTGTTTAAAGTGTGATCTACAACAGGTGAGACAGTAACAGTCTCTCTCACAGAAGCACACTTAACAGACCTAATTCACCCCTTTAAAGCTGTTAGTCACCTCGGTGTTAAACGGGTCACTTAGTCAGCATGTCGAGGCTTAACATTCCTCTGCTTTGCCAGGTTTCGGTTGCAACTTACTGGAACGGCCATGGTGGAAAGCGAGACTTGTCATTTTGTCACCTGCAGAAGACGGAGTTATAAGGAGTTTTTGTTGTGAAAACAGCTTATTTGCGACTCATTTCTTGTCCAACTTGATTTTCACTTAGTGCTTTTGCCAGATTACATAGCTTGGATGGATTTCAGTTAACACCCCCAGGGTGTCAAGTCAGAGTACAAGGTTTGGATAAGATCAACTGACTTATGATTAAAATTAAGCTTTCACTCACTACGCTAATTTTTGCTCTTGAAGATGAAAAAGTCAATACTAATGAGGTTCTTATTGAGAAAAATGAGGATTGGCTCTAATAAGAACATGTGTGGGCAGGTTCATGCACTTGGGTGAAACAGAAGGCACCGTGGTTCACCGAGCAAACAAAACATACCAGGAAGTTTTAACACGAGCCAAGAATTGTGCAATAACGTTTGTAAAAATGTAAATTATAAATCCAACCACTTTGTCATACAGAGACAAGGTTAAAAGGAAACAAACGTGTCTCTGTTACAACCAAGAACAATTAAATGCTTCGTTGTGGTTGGCTGGCTTGCAACAATGACCTAATTGCGGCGCTCTGACACTGCAACTGTGTTATTATTTTTTTTAATTGCTGAACTCCTCCATCTCAGAACCGAAGCCTGCAACACCAAAGTTCTAGTAAAAACAGGGGTGCCTGTACTGTTAGGCAGAATAAACAATCCCACAGACTTTTACCTGTTCCTTTATTTAAAATATGCATCCTAACTTCCTAAGGGAAAGTGTGTGTACTCCACCAAGTGAACGTATAAACCTTTCGAAAGGGTTACATTTACACAGGTGTGAAGGAAAACTTATTAAATTAAAGATATGCCTATTTTGTTTTAAATAACATCTCCCTCTTTAACTTTTCCCTTTTTGCGACTCCAGCAAGAGAATTGGTAGCCTGGCCTACCAGACGCGTCCTGTTTAATTTTGCACAGAAAAAGAGTCTGGTAACTCAGAGAGGCACTTGAGGGGCGGGACTAGACAGATAAAAAATAACCAATCAGAAAAAAGACAGAAATGCTGACTGTACCGCGCAACGCTGTAGTTTAGCTGTCGTAAAAAAAAAAGGCATCTGGCAACAGCGCAAACATCTTTTATTCCTTTAGAAGAAAGGCTTTTCGTGCTTCTACTTGTTGTTTTAAAGACATTCAAGTCATTTAGAACAGAGAAAAAGCCACAGCGAACTCCGCTTCAGCCACCATGTTTATGACAAACTCGGTGTTATGGTGTGTGACGTACGCTGCTCAGCTGATTGGCTCGGTTAGAATTTGCACAGGGTGGGGTTATTTGAATAGGAGAGTTCCCAGACCCTTTCTCTGTGCAGAATTAAACACAGGAGGAGTCTGGCAGACCAGGCTAGAGAATTGGTAGCTACAGTGAGGCTTGTTAGGGAAAGTCAGCCTTCCCGTCCAGCAATAACTTCAGTCTTTTTATTTTTAACCACATCCCATTTTAATTAATTACCAGGAGCAAGGTTAAGTAAACAATACCCAACTGGTGAAAAACTGGTCCATGCATCCATTTCCTTCAGGCTGTTTGCAGGTATTTCAAACGTGCAGGTACTTCAGTACAGAACAGTGAAAGATTGTTTCTGTACTGCGTCAGCTTCAACAGCTTCCCATCACTGCTAAAATACTGTTTAAAATCTGTCTCCTCACTCAGCAACACACCCTACCATCTCAAGGAAATGCTTACCCCTTGGTCCCTCCACTCTCAAGCTGCTGCCCTTCTTCATGTTCCCCAAACAAAACATGTAACTGGATGACCATGTATTTTATTCTGTTGCTCCTCGTCTCTGGAACCCACTCCTAATCCATCTCAGGGATCTGCAGATGTCCAACATCAGAACTCTGACTTTTACAGCCACAAGTTTTCTCCCCGCTTTGCTTTTATGTATTTTTAGTGTCACTCTAATCAGCTAATTCCTTCAAAACACCTGCAAAGGGCTCCTGAGCCTTTAGACGGTCTCTCAGTCTGAGTTTAATCAGTGAAATAAACTGACTTTTGCATTATATTTAAAAAAATTTTTACTTTCACCAGTAAGACACTAAACAGTAAAATATAAACTGTCTAAAGGTTGAATGAACATAATGAAATCAGGAAATAAAAACATCGATATAAATTGTTCTACTTCATTCCATTTGTGACTACTGCATTTAGCATTTACATTTTCATTCAAATATACATTGTGTTTTTATGAATATCGTTTAGTATCTGTTGTGTTTTTTTTTATTGAATGAAATAAAGATAATAAAAAAATAAAAAAAAATTATGCAGACGTTGGCCTGATCCTAGCTTTGGTAACCCGTACTCTACAGCAGTGGTTTCCAAACTGGGGGTTTTATTTGTAAAATGACATTAATGAAATTCCAGTGACACACCCAACAGTTGATGAAAACTCGACATAAAATGTATAACTGTGTGTTTCAAGTTTCTAAATGATCATTGTTGTTTGGGGTCCTGCCTTGTCTTGGACATGGGCAACAGGGTCCTCAAGGAATAAAGGTTTGGGAACTACTGCTCTGCAGGACTGTGCAGAAGTCTTGACTCACTTTTATTTTACGTTTCCTTCTAAGAAGATGGATTTTTCCTCTAAGGTGATCTTGATCATCATCACGTTTTCAAGCCTCTACAAGCTTTTAAGATTTTCATTTCTAGCGTTTTCTCTCAAGTTCAGTCCAGTTTTATTTTTATATTTAACATTTTCTGTATGTTGGGCCACTTAACCCTGACCCATTCAGGCTCCTATCCCAAGGGCCAAACCTGTATCGAATCATCTCTCAACCAGTTTTATTGCATCTTTAGGGGCTTTATCCAACTTCTCACAAATTTGTTGCTGCCCCTCCTGGCCTCCAGATTAAGAAAAAAAAGTTTAACACAAAAAAGCATTTTTGCAGAAGCTGAAAATCAGGAGATGATCTGACCAACTCTGGCCTGTGTTAAGTCTTTAATGCAGGTTCCCTGCATTTCTCAGTATCAAAACGTTCGGGTAATATTCAGAAATGTCATTTTTTTCAGCCTGACCTTATTTTTGTCCTCCATATTTCTCAGGTTTAAGAACACTGACTTCATATTGCTAGACAGAAGATTAGTGTAAAAGCAGCAAAAATACCTCATTTTAAAATATTTTCAGTACAATATTTGCCATTTTAAAATCCTGCATCTTGCAGAGGAAAATTAATTATTAAAATGAAACTTTTAGACAGTATTTCACGTTTAATTTTATAGTTTGTTTTCATTGTTTTTAACAGAATCTCGTTTCCAGTCATTCCTTTCCGTTTAATTACTTATTTTCCTATAACACTGACTGAGTGATGCGCTTATAGGAGAAAAGTGGTAAACCCTGCTGCTTCAACTCCAAAAGCGGAGTCACAGTCCACAGAGATTTCCTCCTTTAATCGCTTAATCCTCCGCATTGTGGGGATAATTTAAACTTTTATCTTGCCACTTAATCACATAGCAGCTGGTCGAAATGAATCCGTGATTAGCGGGAGAAGCGTTGAGTCAAAGCTGCGGGAACTCACCGGAAGTTCCAGAGACGCGCTCTTCTTCAGGTCCTCTCTCCGTTTGCCTCCTTCATCCTCACTCTCCTCCTTTTCTACCATCCTTCTTTAGCTTGTGATGCATCCGTGAGCTGAATATGAATGGATCTGCATGAATGGGGCCGTCGGACTGCGCTGGCCCGAGGGGGAGGGCCCACGCACACAGCGCAGGTAGGAGGGAGAGAGTGAAACTGTCAGACAGGAAGTGAGAGGACAAGCCAGAGAGTTGAGTGACGCAAATAAACTGCTTTATCTTTTTGGATTTGACCTAAAATTGTTGTTTATTTTTTCCCGGAGCTAACTCCAAATTGGAAGCCATCTTTCTTGCTTCATGAAGTTCTAAAGTAGAAGTGAACATGTTTATTTATCTTTTTATATGCAGGCCTAGGCTAAAAACAAAAGCTTTCTTTAATCACCCAACACAATAAAAATAGAGCAATTATTTAAAATGGCATAATTTCTGTCATAACTCTTTGTTAATGGCATCATTTTTATTTTGCAGATTGGAACAAGGTTTTCTTTCTTTCTGAGAAGTTGCTCTAAGATAAAAGCAAATAAATTATTATGTTTTTGGAGCAAATCAATCACTAAATGTGTGGGACAATCGTTTAATCAATACATTTAGTAGGAATGGATGTACTTTAAGTTGTACTTGGGAGGCAAAAAAAATCACAGGTTCACCATTTCCAGGAACTTGGAAGTTAGCAACATCACAGCTGAGCTTTTTTTTTTTTTTTTGGTCTTATTTCCTGATACTTGGACATCTGGTCTCTAATTGGAAAACAGCAATGCAACTCTATCACTGACTTGTTGATGTTTAATTTACACAAATAGCACAAGCCTGGAGGAGCTTCTGCCGTGTTTAGCTTCTAGCTTAGACGTTCCCTGCTTTTTCCTGGATGCTAAACCAACAGCAGCCTTCACCGTTGTGAGTCAGGATGGGTGAGTCTGTGAACGTTAAGTGACAGTGTGACGTAGATCTGTCAGGAGTTTCAAATCCTAGAGTTTCACCATCTGTTTTCTAGAAGCTAATGCTGGAGATAGGTGTAGGAGACTATTTTCATGTTCAGCCTGCATGGAAAAACTCAAGAGTGACTGATTAGAATCAGAAATAATCTTTAAAAATGCTGCAGTGTTCCACACCTTCTGCAGCCTTCAGCCTGCTGCAGCATGTAACACTTCATGCATTGCTGACACAGACTGTTCTAGTTTTATAAACACGCTCCTGTTTTAGAAATAGTCCACACTTTGTATGCACCTTCTGTAGTGTTTTAGAACAAAACTGACACAATTATCAGTAGCACACAGTGCTGGGAGTATTCTTCAGTTTTTGCTTTTTCTGTCATACTGAAATGTTTCAAAGCAGTACAAAGACAACCTGGGTAATACAGTTTTCAATGTAATGAAGCCAACCAAACCTGTTTTATCATATTTTTTCGTTTTAAACAGCTGGCATGAAGCTTTGTGGAGTTTGAGTCTAAAATTAAATCCTTGTGACAGTGGTTGGTTTATTATAGATTTTCTGCATTTATGCTGAGACCCAGGGTGTTTTCAAACAAGGAGAGGGGAAAGCTGGTCAAGTTTTGACCATTTTATTGTAACCCAAAGACTAACAGAGACAAAGCAGGAAACCGATTTATAAAATGCAGAAAATGAAACGAGAAAAACAAGCAAAACCAAATTTTCAGTAATCTAAAAATACTAAAACATACCATACTAAGCTTCACTCATGGGTAGATGGAACACAGGGCCATAAAAAATGACTGAAAGTATTAGAGGACCAAACAAAACCAAAAACTACATTAACTCCTAGTAAGTCTATTAGAAGTTATGATTGTTGTTCAAGACACCAAACATATGTTAAAATGATGTGAGGTCCAGTTAAAATCTTTTGAACTCAAGTATGCAATAAGAGGAGATATAAACCGGCAGAGAAAAGTGCTAAAGAGAGATAATTTACAGTTGACTTTGCTTTTTCTATGGGTGCTGGAGCAACGTGAAACATTAATACAACAATGTGAGTAAAGACTCTTGAACTCATAAAAAGACTGATAAAAGAACTTTTGCAAAGGTAAAAAAAAGAGAGCCTTCCTTTCATAGAAGCTTACACACACACACACACACACACACACACACACACACACACATATATATATTTGTATTTTTCAGGATGAAGTCATCTGAGTCACACACTTTTTTTTATTTCCTCAAACGTTTGAAACACAGGAGGGATTTTTTTAACAACTGAAAAGGATTACAGGGAGACAGCAGAGTAAACATACGGAGCTGTGTTGAAAGAAGACCAGTAAAGAAAACAAACTTTTGTCAACTCAAAGACCTGATCTGATGGGAGAAATTTCAACATTTTGAAGTGTAATATTCCTCCTCAGCAGCAGGGGGCGCGACTAAACCGAACCAGTCTGGTTCAAACTGTTAGCTTTCCTCACTAGTACGTAAGTTAGTTTTCATGTTTTTTACCCCAAAAATAATCTAAACATATGTTACTTAGCTCTTTATTATATGATAATGTTGAGTTATATACTAAATTAGGATGAGCCGGGCGCTGCGTGTTCGTTGTAAAGTTGTTTGAGCTAACAGAAGGAATGCTAATGTTAGCATCTAGTTCAGTAGCTCCTAGTTCCAATTTTTGTCTTCGTTAAATAACGGAAACGTGTTGTTAATAAATTAAGGTTTGTGTTGCTAGGTCGGGGTTTTAGTTTGCTTTGGCGTTGTTTTCTCATACGCTTCTTGTAAACAGAGGGGCCAGAAACCTTTATTGAATCTCTTTCGACAGAAGTGTACACGAACAATTGTTATGGATCAGAAAATTCCTTACGATGACTACCAGCTCCCGGTGGTATTCCTGCCTTCTTATGAAAATCCACCGGCATGGATACCTCCACAAGAGGTATGTCACATTTCAGTCTCGGATATTAAAAAACATTTATTATTTTTTAAATCCTCTAGTTTCTATTCTGTGAGACGTTTCGCTGGCTGATGACAGCTCTGTTGAATATGATTGATCCCAGTCTTGACCTAATTGTTATTACTTTAAATTCTCTTCATTATTTGGCCCTGACATCAGAATGTTGACTCAGGATTCCAGAGTCTGTTTATTGCTGCTCCTTGGATTTAATCTAGCTTGCATAAGCATAATTTTGTGTTGTCAGCTGTACTTTTTGGTTCATTTTTAGCGGGTTCACCACCCCGACTACAACAACGAGCTCACCCAGTTCCTCCCTCGCACCATCGTGTTGAAGAAGCCTCCAGGAGCACAGCTGGGCTTTAACATCCGTGGTGGCAAGGCGTCACAGTTGGGAATCTTTATATCCAAGGTCTGTGTGTCGTGGGGAGCTCTTCTTGGTTGATATATTTATGGTCCTTCTGACCCACCAACCCCCCCAAAAAAGACCCACGTTGTTGATGGAGAACGTGTGTTGTGTGTTTTCAGGTGGTCCCAGACTCAGATGCACACAGAGCAGGACTACAGGAGGGGGATCAGGTTCTTTCTGTGAATGAGGTGGATTTCCAAGACATAGAGCACTCCAGAGTAAGTTAGGAAGATATTTTAACACTGTTTAAAGCAGGGGTAGGGAACCTATGGCTCACGAGCCCTATGTGGCTCTTTTGATGACTGCATATGGCTCTCAGATGATTCACAGAAACCACAGTGTTAAACAAAAAGTGTTCTCGTGCATTTTACCATCCATCCATTTTCTACCGCACCTGTTTAAGCAACACATTCTCACTCCCAGCGTGTCAAAAACAAACGCTTGGTAAACTACCCTCTGTGTCAAACCCCCTGACGCCAAAAGTGCCCTTTTTCATCACTTATGTACAAAAAGCGGGGTTTCTCCTTTCTGACTACAGATCCTAATGAAGAGTAAAACTGACGCGATGGGATGTCTGTTAATAAATATATGCATGTGTATATATATATATATATATATATGTATATATATATATATATATATATATATATATATATATGTATATATATGTATGTATGTATATATATATATATGTGTGTGTATATATATATATATATGTATATATATATATATATATATATATATATATATATATATATATATATATATATATATATCATTATAATTATAACAGGAGTGGTATTGCTGATGGAGGCATCAGACTCCCCCCCCATGTTCCTTTGACAGCTTATGACAGTTTCAGTGGCACTACTGGTAGGTGATACCTGGATCCTATAGAGCAGCGGACTTGAACTCCAGTCCTTCGAGGCCCACTGTCCAGCATGGTTTAGTTGTTTTCCTGCTCCAGCACACTAGATTTAATGGTTGAATTACCTGTTCGCCTGTTTATCACCTGCTGATGAAAATCTTGTGCGTTGAAGCCAGGAAGCTAGTCCACTATCCAGCATTCAAGTCCCAGCTATAAATATTGCACAGGCAGTCCTATTCCACCAGGATGGCCCATTAATATGTGCCATAGCCAGAAGGTTTGCTGTCTCCCTTAGCACAATCTTAAGAGTAAGGAGGAGATTCCAGGAGGCAGGCAGGTACTCTGGAAGAGCTGTTAAAGGTTCTTACCCATCATCAGGACCAGTATCTGCTCCTATGTGCAGGAAGAACAGGATGAGTCTTTGACCAAACTGTTAGTAACAAATTCCATGACAGTGGCCTTAATTAGGCCCTGGGCTCACCTCCTGTAGCAGCACATCGGTGTATTTGGTGGTTTTTCTCCTCATGTTGCTGCAACGGCCAATATTATTCATGACTGTATCCGTTGTTTAGATCATTAGCAGCTCTCTGTTTTGTTGCTCGTTTATAATTACAGTAGAACTATCCACACACACTGGTGATGAACTATGTTGTAGCCACAGAAGCATGGCTGTCCTACACAGGTGCCACTGGTCCCTCCGACCACCATCAGCAGGCAAAGTGGGTGTAGTGCCTTGCCCAAAGACACAATAACATGGATGGAGCCTGGCTTTGAACTGGGGAGATATCATGTTTTAGGTCATCCAACACCACCAGGTTGAACCAGTCCAGGAGTTCAGTGATGTCCTGTTCAGGATCTGGGAGGAGGACACCATCAGCTCATGAGGAGAATGCCTGAATATTTTCAGACCTGCATTCAAGCTCATGGGAGCAGTAGAAACTACAGAGTACCATTCTGGGCTGCTGCAGTGTTATTTCAGCAAATTGACCTGGCCTGCTGGATCAGCTCCATCATGTCCAGGACACTCTCAGACCTTTATCCTATTGAGAACTTGTCAGTCCTAAAGGGGTCTGTGGATAAACAAAAACTAACCCCCTTCAAGAATTGATTACGCAAGACTCAAACGCCATCAGTCAGGATTTGGACTAGAAGTTAATTGACAGCATGCCAGGGTGGACTGTAGTGATCTTAAAGGACCAACACTGTAAATATTGACTCTATTCACAAATTGGATGCTAGTGCAAATATAATCCTTTGAAACCAATGCAGTGCCTGTAGTATACATCCGTAACCATAGAAACGTGTGACAAAAAGATCTGAAAACACTGAAGCAGCAAATCTTGTGAAAAGGATCATTTGCGTCATTCTCTGATCGTTGGCTTCAGGCAAATGTTGAGCTGCAATGAAGACAAAGTAGGAAAGAGTTTTTTTTTTCTAATTATTTTATTCTCATATTTGTCATCTTTTGTTTTAGGCCGTGGAAATTCTGAAAACTGCACGAGAAATTGTGATGAGGGTTCGCTTTTTCCCCTACAGTGAGTCTTTTTTTTCACCCTATCAGATCAAGAGTCTGTTTGCATGTTTTATCATATATTTTACTTTGTCCCGAGTATTTTTGTGTCCTATATCTATAAAACCTTGCTTCGAGCCTGATTTACATCGTTGCAGTGTTTTGAATTACTTTGACTTTTGCTTTATTATTTTAAACACCAGATAATCAAAAACTCAGACAGTTTTGTTGCTGTTGAGATGTTAGTTTAGGTACATCACAAGCTGTGTTGTGTGTCATTGCTCAATGGGTCGATACATTCTTCTTTTGTAAAACTTTATGTTTGAGGTGCAAAATATAAAAAGCACATTCCTGAAGATTGTCGGCGTAAAGCAGCATGTTTGAACACCCACGTTCTCAGATAACCATCGCTCCAGTCCCACTGAAAGGCTTCAACAGTAAACATCTAAAACAAACTAAATACCTTTATCATATCATACTGGTAGTGATGATTCTGGATACTGCGCTCTGTCTAATAAAGATCTCTGTTCTTTTTTCAGATTACCAAAGGCAAAAGGAGAGAACCGTACACTAGATGGCAGCACAAACTCATGACAGGAGGTCATCATCTTCCTCCTACAGACTCTGGCCTCCGTTCTGTCTCAGCTGCAAGATGACGAATGTTTGATTAGTCAGCCTCACTGACAGGCCTCCATGTTGGGAATTGTTCTGCACACTGTTGTATTTGTTAAAAATAATCACAATGTTTCACTGTGGTGATTCTAGTGCATCACTCACTGGAGGTTTGGTTGTGGCTCTGCATTAGGAAGTGGACAGTTTTAGAGCAGAAGGGTTCAATTCCTGGCCTGGAGGGCTGGTTTCCAGCACGTTTTAGATTTAGCCCTGCTTCAACACACCTGATTTCAATCAGCAGGTGACTGACAGGCTTCTGCAGAGCCCGATGAGCTGCTGCAGGTGATTCAATCACGGAATCTAGTGTATTGGAGCAGAGAAACCACTAAAACATTCTGGATACCGGCCCTCTAGACCCAGGTTTGGGAACCACCGGTTTAGACCGTACTGTCCATTAGTGTTTAAAACATGTGCATGCATAACTATTACCTTTCCACTTTTAAAATCAAGTTGATAAAGTTGGTCTTCAGTGCACTTCTGTAAAATATTCAGGTTAACACATATGCACTGTAAAAAGTCAAATGGAATACACATATTTTAGATATAAAGAGAATTTAACTTGAAATAAATTTGGCATGTATGAATTTAGAATATTTAACAGATGTTTGTCATTGTATAAAAGGATCAAACGTGTAAATACTGACTACTTAACTGTAATATTGTCTGCTAGTTTCACAGGTTTTACCCATTTGGTGCTTTGATTATTTGTTATAGTTTCAATCATAATTTTAGGTGCCAAAATGTTAAATAGAATATTTAATGTTTTTAATTAACTGAAATTACAATGTGAAGCTTGTGGAAAGGTTATTTGTTTTCTGCAGTAGCTTCAAGATGTGCAAGTTTTTGACCAAAACTGGTTTCCTTTAGTTTACAAAAACCAAAGAGTGTAGATTAGAACAAGGATATAACCATTGAATGTGTATGTATCCAAAATAGTTGATGTGCCCGACTGATTCATTTCAGCCATTTTATTCTGTCCATTGATCATTTCAATAAAGTGTTTCTATTGAAACTTCAGTGGCTTGAAATATTGCAAACCCAGCATGACACTGACAATTTAGTAAAAATGATGACGTAAACATTTCTCGAACTTGAGGAACCTGCACCAGGTTTCTACTGGTATAAGTGGTGAAACTTGTTCTGCTGACTCAGTTGGTTTCTCCAGAGATTGAATGACAAAAAGAAAGAATGACCCTGATTAAAAAGACGTCTAAACCTTGTCCGGTTTATTTGTTAAATGCCAAAACTGCAAGGTTAAAAAAAAAAAAATCACAAAAACTTCTCTCAGCCTGTGGGGCTTCATTACAGAGTCGTCATGCCTTCATCAGTTTACAGAAATAAATAAATACAATACACTATTCTGCTCAGGTGAAGTGTCAGACATAAATATTTACACGGTAGCGTCGTTCACAAGGAGAGGTCATCCTCTTAAGCTAGTGATCACCTGTGTGTGCTTAGAGCATCCTCATTGGACAACTGCTAGGGTTAATCCCAGCAAAGCTTTAAGCATTCTTCTTTATTAAAGGCAAAAAAAATGTTAGTGAAAAATTAACCAGCAGCCAGGACACAATACAAACGCTTAATCCAACAGCGTGGTATTTAGTTGCATGAGGCTGAAAAACTGGTTTTTGTTCAGATTAACACAAAATATACTTTTTCATTACTTTACCAAAATAAAGTGACTATTTCAAGTGTCTCATGTCAAAAAAAGTTGCTTTTTAAGAGTTTTATATTGATCTTGTTTTACGTCAGACATTGAAATAGGTCACTGGTGAACAGCTAGCCTTGTTATCTTTTACTTCTGCATGGATGTAAAGTGACAACCTGGTTGAGGACCTGTTATAACGTGATGCTTTAGAGGCAAAGACCCCTATCCCTGTTCACAATCAGGCCAATGGAAACTTGATCCGCACTCCTAAAACAGCTGTAAACACTTCATGTTCTCAATAAGGCACAGCGACGTGGAAAACTTAAGGACTGGGGTGATTTCACATAAAACTGGAAGTCCCAGAGTCTTTTCTTTTTATATATGAAGTCTATTTCCCAGTTTCCCCTTTTTTGGCGCCCCCCTTGTCCTTTGCTTCCGTGCGACCTAGCTGCTATTCTCGCTGTCCATAACATCCAGCTTGGTGAGTTCATCCACGTTTTCTAGTGAGTCCGCTCTCTGGATGGACAGCTCAGCGGGGTCTATTGTGGCGAGCGTGCTCTGCTCTGGGTGGAGCCACGGCTTCAGGTTGGGGGAGTTCTGCTGTTTCCATGCCGGGTAGTTCTGCCCTGCCTTGTGCACGCTCATCATCACCTGGAACGAACAGAGAATCATCAAAGAGCTGAAAGCGAGGATCGCACCACACCTTCACGCTTCACAAAAGCACCTTTTGTTTGGTTGGGTGTTAGTTTAATCAATGCCGATTGCTTTATATTCATTGGTTTTGTCATTTTTCTTTTAGGTGTTTATTATTCTCTAGGTCTGTTCTGGCGAGTAAATAAACAGATTTTTTGTGCCTGATATAAAAAAAGTTACTTATAGATTTATTTAAAAAATAGGCAAAAATAAAAATGCTAACACTACGCTTGGCACTTAGATCTATATAAACAATATTTTCATTTTACTCAAAGAACAAATCAATTACTTTATCATTTTCAGTTGTTTTTAAGGTATGGTTAACTGAAAACCAATTTTAACTCATTCACTGCCAATGACGACTAAAGTCCTCATTTGCAGTTTTTTACTGTGTGGGCATCGGAACGAGCCCCCGCACCCTAACAACAAACATCTCAGCTCCAAAGCCGATCTTCCTCTGCGTACGTCACAGGTAATGTGATCAGGAAGCAGAAAATCCATGTGTTAGGAGATCATTTTGGGCCTCTGCTGTAAAAAAGTGAGGCGCGAACCGGAAAAGCTTCTGCCAATCACAATTCAACAACGGACTATGAAAGAACAGATAAAGCTCGAAACGTGCAGATTCTTCCTGATGCAAGAGGTGAGTCTACTCTTTGTTTTGGTCATTTTGCCGTTGACATCATCCTAGCGCACAACGTTCTGTGAGTCTTCAAAAAAAAAAAACAGTAAAAATGCTGAAAAAAAACTGGCAGCGAAGAACTTTTCCAATTCCACCTTTTAGTTCTTTTTTTAAACACAGAAAGGTTTTATTTACCTGCAACGTTTCGTTTGTGGCTGCAAACTTCGTCAGGCTGACGCTCGAAACGTTGCAGGTAAATAAAACCTTTGTGTTTTAAAAAGAACTAAAAGATGGAATTAGAATTTCAACACAGCAAGAACACACCAAAGAAGGACTTTTCTGATCAGGAAACGGCTGGCAGTTAATGAGTTAATGATTACTTCTGATTATAATCAGTCACTAACTTTTTCTTGCAGGCTGAACATGAGATCAGTCTCCTACACCCACCTCCTACATTAGATTTCTGATTGAAATAGATGGTAAAATGCTAGGATTTGAAAATCCTAACAGATCTGCGTCCAGGGTATCTGCAGGTTTAAGGGAGCCAAATTTAAGACTTTTTAAGACAATTTTAAGGCCATTTTGATCAAATTTAAGCTATTTTTAAAATTAAATTTAAGCTATAATTTCCAGCTATTGCCTGAACCGGTGCCAACCATGTCGCGATCGTGGGATTAGCCATCCAGTTACCATTAAACTTGCACTTCCCCATGGCCCCAAGCTCCCACTAGCTTAACCAGCTAATGTGCTCATCTAAGAATAGCCCCCTTTCACAACCAACTGAATGTGTACGGTTCCGCTTACGCCAATATCGTACACAAAAAATGCTGAACACTAACTAGAAATTCACTACATTTTTATAGAAATAAAAGAATCTTGTTTATTGGGTCTTTAGTAATTTAAGACCTTTGAAAGTTGTATTTAAGGATTATTTGTCATTTTTAAGGATTTTTAAGACCTTAAAATTTGGAAAAGCTCATTTAAGACTTTTTAAGGACCCGCGGATACCCTGTACATCAAACTGAACTTGCCTTCATGGCCTTGTGCATCTTGGTTCACGCCCACCCACAGGAAGACTTAAAAAAAATGTTTGCAGCAAGGAGAGAGAGAGCAGAGTGTGTCTGGTGATGGTGACTTTACAACATGGCTAACGGCATTCTGTTAGCCAATCAGTAGCGAGGTGTGTGAATATCAAATAAAAATAAGTAATCCTGCTGTTTTTAGCCCACCTCTGCACCAGCAAACTTCTGCATCTCAGAACAGGCGCATCATAAGTGTTTATGTTTTTTAAATGACTCATAAGGCACTGATTTACACTAGAGAACACTGCTAATGTATTGAATAAACGAGTAAATCACATCTTTAAGGGGTTGTTTAATCAAAGATCAACACTTGCAGTGGTTTCTAGCAGGAATGAATGTCTTGTAAGTCGTTCTCTGGAGGAAAAAAAAAGCTCTGGTGCGCCCGTTTCAGGATATAGAATTCAGCTGGAGGAGAAAGTAGCTTCACACAGAAGGCTTTGGAATCTTATTTCCCGATATTTGGACATCTCGCCTCTGATTGGCTAACAGCAATGCAACAGTACAACTGATGTTGCTTTACAACAATGATGTTTTATCTCCACAAATAATGCAAGCCTGGAGGAGTTCTGCTGTGTGGTGGATTTGCTAACGCTAACAGCTAGCTTCTACTAATGGAGACTGTCATTTTCTGGACGCTACACCAGCAACAGCCTTTTATCACGAAACATGGTCCCATGAGACAGTGTGATGTAGATCTGTCAAATCCTAGAGTTTCACTGTCTATTTTCTATTTATCTATGACTAGTTTCAGCCTGAATTAAAAACTCAGAGTGACCAATCGTTAGCAAAAGTAATAATGGTTTCTCTGGCTCTTCAATTAACCCTTGATGCATAAGGGTCACTACAGTGGACAGGTACTTAAAATTGTTATTTATTTATTTTGCTATTAAGCACAGCTGTTAAAGACTTTATTGCATTTGAACCCCTCCATTTGGACTTCAGTAAGTAAAGCCAACATATTTCATGTTCAGATTGCACACTGTCCACTGAGGTGGACATGTAATAAATTATTTGTAAATAAAATTTTACAAAAAATATGTAAATATGAAATTTGTTTCATTCACACCTAAAGATAAATGAAAAAAAAATTGTTAAAAAAAATCATGGTTGAAGATTTCATAATTCATGCATCAAAGGGTTAAAAAGAGAATTCAGGTTTAGCTTTCAGATGATTTTGTTTTGGTGGAAAGTAACGCTACTCTCGACACAATAAGCATAACAGAAGCAGTGTTTTCAATTTGACAGCAAAAAGGTAAGTTTTACTTCAGCACCAATAGGTTTGTGCTCACCCTCTGTTAGGCACTTAGATCACAAATCTATACATTTACCTTTAGCTGATCCCCAGTTTACTCTTGGATAACGTTAATTACAGTCCTCACATTAAAAAAAAGACATGAGCTGCTGAGGGATGGCTTCCCACTCACATATAAACCTTCCTCTAAATCAGAGGAGTGGGGAACCCTGGTCCCCGAGGGCCGGTATCCTGAACGTCTTTGCTCCAACACTTCTGATTCAGCGGTTGATTCACCTGTTCAGCAGCTCATCAGGCTCTGCGGAAGCCTGTTAATCACCTGCTGATTGAAATCAGGTGTGTTGAAGCAGGGTGGAAAGTAAAATATGCTGGATAGCGGCCCTTGGTGGACAGGGTTCCTCACCCCTGCTCTAAATAGTTTAAATTCATGCAAGATGTGAAACCTGGACAACGAGTTCTGCTGGAAGACAGGGCAAAAGCTTGAGCCAAGATTCTCCTTTGTCAGCAGCAAGTCTGTCTCACCTGGATCTGCCCCTACAGTTGTGCTCCTATGGTTACCATTGTCCTTTGAGACACATGAAACTCACACTCCCACACACGCACACACCTGCTGTACGCATTTTACATTCCCCTCGTGGACACGCACCCCTTCAGAAATGCCAATACTGAGTTTTGATCTGTTAAGCACACAAATGTAAACAATGTGCGAGAGGATACATACCCGAGGAGCGAGGACTTGGGATGCTTTGTTTACCACCCACTTTGGAAGGGAACCTGCAGAAAACACGAGTTAAATTACGTCTTCAAAAATGTTCAGATTGCCTGATAAGGCAGGTTCTTACCTTTTGGGTCAGCTTGTGAAAGGTAGATGAATGTGCAGCTATTTGGTCCTGTGGGCTTGATTAAATACCCGGTGAGGATGGAGACCGCTCTCACAAGATGGCTGTGAGGAGGGTGTTTCTGCAACACAACAGAGGGGGAAAAAAAAGCGTTGTTACACAGGATGATATAAAAAGGCATCACGCACCACCACAAGTGGGACATGTGTTTGTAGGTGGAGCTGTTAGAACAAACTAAAGTGTCACAAAGAGATGCAAAGAATGTGATGTGGAGGAGGTGGAGGAGGCGTACCGGGTGTTTGACTGAGAAGTTGATGATAGTGTACTCATCATCCGTCACCTGCCACGAACGCAGAGTCACAACATCTCTGTTCTTTATCGGCTTTGGACAAATCCCTGCAGAAAGGAGGGGAAAAGTTGGACAAATCTTCACACAGACACATGCACCGCTTTGTTGTCACAATAAATACAATTGTGCAACAAGAAGCCACAAAAGGAATGTGTTGAGCAGCATGTTTTTAAATGAGCAGGAATGGAAAGACGATAGCCCAGATGAGTGTAGAAAAGTGGGTATCGGCTGGGATGAGGCTGACAGACAACAGTTTTAAACAGCATTTTCTGAAAAGTCCATTTGTTTTGATGCAGCAGGTTGAACTGAACTAAACTAGACTCGTTGCGGGTCACACAGACACAATAGATTGAATGAAAGGAAAAGTTTTGGAGTGCTCACATGAGTAGTAGCCCACATCTGCGTTATCAGACAACCTGGCAATGTCAAAGCTCTCCAGCACGTTGGGATCCCACCTCTTACGGTATTCTCCGTCGTGAATGACGTCGTACATGGTGGCAGCGGACACGTCTTTAATGGCCATTTTACACTAAAACACAAGCACACGAGCCAAGCGTTAATATGAAGTTGGCGGCCCCAGAGTTTAACTTTAAAAGAGTTCATTCCAGCGTTGGCGCGAGCCTACCTTGATCTTGTGGACTTTGGGAACACTGTTTTTCTGGACTTCGATCCACACTTGCATCCCATCGCTGTCGTACTTGTTGATCCAGTTCTCGGTGGACAAACACTGCTTCTTGAAGTCAGCAAAGGCCTCCTCGCCGGGTAGAATGCTCGAGTGCTGTCGTGACATTATTGCTTTCAATTGCTTTAACTCTTCGCTTCTCTTCCGCTCCTCCCTGGCAGGTGTAAATAACCGTCTCTGAGCACCGGGGATGATTTGCCGCTCCTCTGGCCGCTGCCTTCCGCTCAGGCTGATATATGCACACCGATCACCGATCAAGTCGAGCAGCATTCCAGAGCCATTCCATTCAACCAAAACCCGCTTGCGTGACAGCGTCCTTACCCAGGTGTGCGTAGAGGGAGGGGAGAAGATCAAAGGTAAGCCCCGCCCAAAGAGTAGGGGGATGGGTCCCTGAACGATGACCATGTGGTGAACCAGTTCAAACCATTAAACACAAACTGGAATCAAGCGCTGGTGACACTGGGAGTTTCAGCCCCAACAGAAACGTCAGGCTGGGGTGGGTGGGTGAGGTTTGTTCAGAGGTGATGCACCCACTACACCATGACTAAATCAGACTGGAATGCAAATAGGATTAAGATTAAATCAATCACAGTTTGGCCTGGTGACATTTAAAGAGTTCATTAAGTTTCACAGACGAGTTAATTCTGAGGTGTTGTTAGTAACAGAAGTATCGATCTATCTATCTAGAGAAGGGCTAGATAGATGATTGATTGACCTTAGTTTAGAAAATTAGAGATTATGTCTAAATGGATGGGCACAATTGTCCTACGCATTACTGGTACCTTAAATTAACAGATTATTAAAACTATAAGTTGTAAAGGTTTATACATTTGAGCCTGCATGCTGTATATGACCAATTCTGTAACCCTTTTACAGACTTAAATTGCCTGCTTTAAAGAACGGGTTAACTGAGAAACCATTTTTTACTATTTATTTTTGAATATGATCAGTCACTTTGACTTTAACATGCAGACTGGACATGAAAACAGCCTTCTACCCCTATTTCCTATATTAGCTTCTGACAGAAAATAGACAGAAAATTACTTGGTTCAGAAAACCCTGACACATCTATGTCACACTGTCATCATTCATGGACTCACCCAACTTGACTCATGACGAGGAACGGTGATGTTAGTTTAACGTCCAGGAAACAGCAGTGAATGTCTTGGCTAGTAGAAGCTAACTGTTAGCATTTGCTAATACACAGAACTCCTTCAGGCTTGTTATTGGTGGAAGTAAAACATCGCAGACAGCGTTCCAGAGCAAAGCAAGTCAGTGGTACAGTCATGTTGTTTTTATCCAATCAGAGAAGAGTTGTCCAAATATCAGGACATAGGACTCCAAATCCTGCCGTCTGAAGCTACTTCCTCCTTTAGCTTACTTCATTGTCCTCAAACAGGCATACCTGAGCCCCCCACCCCCCAAACGACTCTCGATGCTCACAAGGCATTAATTCCTGCTAGAGACCACTGCAAATGTATTAAACATGAGTAAAAATGATCTTTAAGTTTTTATTTCCACCAGAAAAAAGGTGATAAAAGCATTAACTGCTAAACCATTGTGTGATCCGTGTTGTTTTGACGCTGTAGTAATCCACGCAGAACTGGCTCCACTCTGCTAGTAGTTACCTCATCAATCCAATCAGAACAAATCTGATTTTACAAACTGAGGTTGTTCACAAATCTACATTTCAGATAGAAACCTACTGTAACGTTGGCTGCCCCGTGGCCAGGACTCCCAAGAAAATGAGGTTTTTAATCTATAAATAAAAATAAATCACCACAGATCTGAATCACACCTTTTATTTACTGTTTTAAAGTAAGTTTCTGCGACTCAGCATCTAAAACGACCTCCAGTTTACGTCGAGAATGAAACTCAGCTGTAGCAAACCTAATCAAAAAGCAGTTCCTTTATATTTGTGAGACAAAACCCACATTTCAGCTGTAAACAAAACCAGATCTAAACGTCCCCAAGAACATTCTTCACCTGTGGAAGTTTTTTTTTTTTGTTGTCACTCTGCACATAAACTGTGAAAATAATCAAAGGAGTCTTTAAAGCAAAAGTTCAGGAGTCCATAAGTGTGGTTAAGGCTGCTGTCCCAGCTTACTGTAGATGAGCCCTCTAGAGTTCAGGGGAAAACAGCTGTAGTCGGGGAATAAGTTTGGATGAGTTTCTTTATGTTGGACCAGCAGCTTATACAACCATTATTTAGGTGGAAAGCTGTAAGCTGTTGAAGTCCTTTATGCACAACTCTGCTCACTGGGGCACATTCACAAGTCTGACGTTTGTTCTCAAACAGCTCGACTGTCACACACACCCAGGCAAACGTGTATTCTCATAGTTATAAAACCTTAGTCCATGCCTTTAATTCTTCCGGTCACACACCCTGAACATTCACCAAGAAAACCATAGAGAAGTCTAGATACTTCTTAAATACAATCCCATGGTAATATCTGGCCACGCCTGTCTGTTGTAACCCTTCATACCACTGATGGAGTGGTTTCACTTAGCTTTGATGACGCACAACACATACCAACCAACACAAGATGGCTTTTTCACATTCAGTCCAGCCGCTTGAGACGAAACTGATCAACAGGATTCAGAGTTTCCCGACTGTGTCAGAAAACATCTTTATTAGTGAGGACATAACACATGGTGTATTTTGGTGAAATATCTTTATTTAATTCCACGTGATAGGCCTACACTTGTGTTTCATTAACTCTCCTTTTTTATACATAAGATAGTAATAGTACATTATTCACACAAACGTTGCTAAACACGATTAGACATCATATTTCAAATAGACAGACACAATTCAGAATAGCACAAAGCTGCGTTATTTAGTCAGTGACAATAGAAGAGCTGCTCGTGATAAAATGTTTCATTTCAAATCAATTAAATACCTAAAACTTTCTAATTGGTTGTAGAGCGGTTCAAAACAAGCAACAGCCAACGACTGGTGTCGTTTGTGGATGGTGTTAAACTGTGTGTGTGTAAATGGTGCAGCCTTTACCTGCGACTGTAAACCAATATACACACAGGAGAAAAAAATATTACCCCAGCAGACACGCAAACAATAAATTAAATAATAAAAAAACAACCCTTTAGCATGCGCGTCAGCATCTGTACTTTTGGTCAAGCGTACAATGTCATCTGTAAGTTACAAAATAAATAAATGCATAAAACCAACAGTCCTGCACAGGCAAAAGCAACGCAGTAAAGGATCCTGCAACTAACTTCTCTGCACTCTTTATTTATTTTTAAATAGCAAGGGTGTTAGTAAGCATTAGCTGTATCTGAGGATGTCTATCTAACAGCTCTACAAAACGACTGGTGAAGCCATAAACCGGTCAGCAGGCTCCTTTGATATTTAACAATATTGTGGCTTGATTCAGTGCACAACATAGTGAACAAACAAGCAAGGCATCTGTGTTCTTATCCATAGAAATCCTGCATGGTGAACATGCTGCTTGGTCTCGCAACAAGTGTAATCAACACAACACAAACTATCATGGTGGCTACGTCCTTTAGCGATCGGAGTGAAGGACTGTCCTTCAGAGGGGACGAGCTAAATGCGTTTGAGCAACTTCACACTCCTCCTCAGATGTGTTAGTACGCGTGCAGCAGATCTGAACATCGATAGCTGGTAAAAGTCACAATGCAGACAAAGTTTAGGTCAGTAACCCTTCTTGTTTTTTTTTGGAATTGGCTTCCCTTTCATGGTTTCCAGTCCATTGTCATTTGTTAACTCATTTTTTTGGCAGCAAAATCTTTCAAATGGACTGACTTTGTCACAATTCCAGTTTGGCAGCTTGACTCTATAAAGACTTCAATATTTTTGTGACAGAAAAAAGAATGGTTCCATTTATCCTTTTTGACTTTAAAAAAGGGAATTTGAGTCAAACGCGGCTTTATGATGCAAACTGACTGGTGAGATTCCGCTTTCACTTCCCTAAAATTAGAGGAAATATGACTAGCTTGAGAGAAAGAACATCTTCAGGAAAACTTTTCTATTTGAAATTTATATATATATATATATATATATATATATATATATATAAACACTTGGCAGAGAATTAAACCTGGTATTAATTGACACGATCCCAAGCAGTTTACAACTTTACATCGACAAGAGTAACAGCACTAAGAATCTGAACTGTGCAATAACTCAAGAGAGGTTAGCTAAGTCGGTCTGCAATCATATACAGTGTCATGCAACTGGATAAAAATCTGAACGTATCATTTAACATCTTTGTTTTAAGTGTTTGCATCTGAACAATTTTTTCCCCCAAAGATAATCTGATTCAGTACAGTAATGCACATCCACATGGTTACTTTGAAAAGTCACCGAGTTGAAAAAGAGGAGAAAAAACAAAACAAAAGATAGGCTCTTTATCCCAGTGGCAGGGTGCCACGGGTGGAGAGAGTCGCCACTGAGAGACGAGCTGTTGGTGTGTGTGTGTGTGTGAGGTGTTGGGGGGCAGGCTGGGTGGGGACAAGGTGTACTAGCATGAGCAGCTGCTCTCGGTTACAGTCATCTCTGGCTGCTTCTCCAATTTGATGTCGATCACTGAGGTGGGCTGGGTTAAGCAAAATACTCCGTGAGTAGCAGGATTTCCCTCAGAGCTGCGTGCTTACCTCACCAGTTCTGTTGTTAAACTTCTCAGTAAACCAATGTGCTTCCAGACCTGATTATTTTTTGCAGTTTTTGCCACTGCTGCAGGAAATCCCCACTCCTTCAAGAGTTTTTATACAACCAGAACTGAGGACCTGAAAGTGGAAGCAGATAAAACTAAAGTTCTCTAGAACAAGCCCCCAAAACTCACTGTAGAGGATGTGTGCCAGCCCGTTCACATGTTTTTTGTATTTATTATTTTTTAAACAGAGTTAAGCTTTACCTCTATGCTAAAGTTGACTTTCACCTAAACCAAACTCCAAAAGGATACTGTCCTCTTTGCTCTTCTCTGGTGTGCTGTCCATCCCAGGCAGAGCTGCAGCAACACGGCGGAACAGCTAGCAAGCAAAGAAATGTAGTTAATCAGCTGATCACATACTTGAATTTAAAGAAAAACTGTATGGCATCATTATCAATCCTTACAGGAATTTGTTTTATTGATTTCTGGAAACTTCCTGAAAGGCTAATTACAGCTGATCGACTTCTGGAAGCAACATCAGTGAACCCAAAAACGGCTAAAACTCAGTCAGCTTTTAAGATTTTCTGCTAAAATGTCATGTAGTAGTAGTGGAGGGTGCTGGCAGACATCCCATGGTCATTTTCGACATTTGACAAAAACAGCTATAACTCCATGTAATGGATCTCAGCTGAAAGCTGTTACTTTGACAGGTTTTCCATGAATGCAGTTTTTTTACTAAATGTGTTTTTTGTTGCAAACGTTACAAGTTGTAACTCACTACTTTTCCCTGAAGAGCCTCAAAGACAAACAGCACTGACACAAAATGTGACAACCATTCCAAGTAGATAAAAAAGCACACAAGTGAAGGTCACCATGCTTATCGCTACTAAACAACATGACAAGTGTTTTAGTAAAGTTGGGACGCTGTGTGAAATATAGACAATCAAGTTTAAATCAAAATAATATTTAAAATAGAAATTCAGTATCAAATGATGTTTGCAACTAAATTAAAGGCTCAAAATAACTTTCTAGGGACTGATTTTATTGGACGTTGCTCTGTGATCAACCTCAGGGGAAAGTAGTATACCAACTAGGGTTTAAAGGCGCAATGTGTAAGAATGATGCAAGAATGACATGCTGAGGTCAAATCTGGTTACTGGAATCACTTTCTCCTGTTTAGAGTTTCATGGCTGTTGCCAGTTACAGATCAGAACCAGAAACTTCTAGATGACAAGCGAAGACGAGTCTTACGCAGTAAGTTGATAAGTAGATAAAATACATTGTTATGTCTGGTGTTAGCACTCTTGGGTGTTTTACGGTAGGGAGCACTTACTACGCTTATTACTGTAATATTTGTCAGACATTAGAGGACGTGTGGTTGTGTCACGAACTCCTCCTCCTAACCACCCCCTACGGACCTAACTGGCGGAGTACTACATTACCCAGCATACCCATCACTGGCATGAGTTGACAGCGTCATCACGCCGACTCTATTTACGGAAGCGCCGCCGCTGAGTTATCACTCAATCATCGTCCATGCCAGACTTCGACCCGAGTTCTCAGACTCACCAGCCCTCAAACCAGGAAAGAGATCTTTCCTCGCTGCCTACCACCAGTAAGTCAGCTTCTTTGTTTATTCGGAACTGCCGCTCAGTCTTGGCTCTTTCCGAGCGCTGCGTCGCCGTTCCCAGATTAAAGCCGCGTGCTCTGTATAACCCAACACCAGCCACTCTGCGTCTTGGTCACACAGCCACGCTACAAGCAACCTCCGCTAAACATCAGCTGAGCCAATCTCACCTGACAGGTTGTTTGGTGTCTTGCTGTTTTAGTTCTGAACGACTCATTAAAGGAAGTAAAACCTTATGATTGACACACTTCACACAAACATTTCACTGTAAAATCAAGTTGTTGGTAACTGAAAAGGTATAGCTTGAGATATTTTTAGAGATGACTATTTGCCTCTAACTCACTGTTAGCATTGTTAGCCTCTAGCCTGCTTTACCCATGTAAAACAAAGATGACGTGGCATCTTAGGGGCACAAGAAATAACTTCTGAGTCGCTCCTGTTTACTGGCTTCAGTTCTTTAAACAAACCTGGAGCTTTCTGCCTGCTGGAGTTGAATTACAAATCCCAGCTCTGTTGCGTCAGCTTGGTGGACGCACTGCAACCTCAAGGATATAAACATTAACTACATGCCTCTTTATTTATTTTTTTTGAAAGGTGAAAAATTGACAACCCCTCAGTTGGCTGAGAATTAAATCTGTTTCAATGTTACCTTCCTTCTAACATGATTGAGACATTACTGTTTTGTGATGATTTTGCTGCAGAATTCTTACATGTTGCCCTTTAATATAATTTCTGTGTCAAAAATTTTACAAATAAATATTTCAGGCATTCCATTATCACAGCAAATTATATATATATATATATATATATATATATATATATATATATATATATATATATATATATACACACATTTTTTATTTTATCCTTGAATCTAAGATTTATCTGTTCCATTTTACATTACATTGTAAATTCTCACTTATTTTTCTACTTCACACAGCCTCCCAACGTTCGTAATTTTTTACCCACAAATATTTTTGAAAGCTGACAAAGTTCTGGTGACTCAAACAAAAAAAGGAGGAATAAATGCTGCAGCTGTAACAAAAGTATTCTCTACAAGCAAGGTCTGTGGGGGTGAGAAGACAATTCATGAAGTTTTACACACTCAAAGGTTCAACATGAGATGAAAAAGACAAGTTCTGATGAGTTATAAGAGGAGAAGAGAAGAAGTGAAAAGTAGCTACTGAAGGTAGGATTAGCAGAACTACTCTGAGGGAAAAAACATGCTACCTGTTTGACATTGTAGCCAGTCTTTGCGCTGGTTTCAATGAACATGACATTCAGTTCCTTAGCTCTCTGCTCGCCCTCCTCCGTGGTGATCTGTCTGCTCCGGTACAAGCAGGAGGAGGGGAGATAGACGAAAGGAAAGATGCGAAAAGAAACGTGGCAAAGAGGACAATTAAAGGGGAGAAGAAATGGACAAAGACACCAAGAAGAGAAAGCTTAACACAGAACTGCTTTTGGATGAAAAAGAGAAGTTAGTTTAAAACTTAAGCCAAAAGTAGAAAAGAGGAGAGAGCAGGAAATCATTCACCCACAACACAACTCCTTTACTACAACTATTCCTGTTCCACACCCTTCCCGACCTATAGGACATTTTGACCTGTGAAACCAGAGAACGAGTCTCCGTTGGAGCCTGCTGTAGCTGAACACAAACCTGCTTGACGTTATAACCAGCCTTGGCACTGGTCTCTATGTACATCACATTCAGCTCACGAGCTTTCCTCTCTGCCGTCTCAACAGAAACTTGCCTGCCACGGTCCCAGGTGGAAGGGGGAGGGAGTAAAGAGAGGCGGGGACGGGGTGTGTGAAGGGAAACACATGCATAAAAAGAAAAAACAAAACAAAATCTAAATGATGTGGAAAGGCAGACAAGGAACCAAAAACTAAGGCAACAGAAACAGGGGCAGAACAGAAATATGTTCAAATGATAAGAAACAAAAGTATTCGAGTCATTAATATAAAGACTGGAGTGTGCAACATAACGATGACTGGTAAAAGGCAAACCTGGGTGAAGGGAAACACACTGGGGTTCAAGGATTTGGTACGGTTAATAAACCTAAAGGGATATTTCAGCCATTCTGAGGAGCACTTCAGTGATAAAGGTACACAATCATAGTCAACTAACTCAAACATCTTTAAGCAGAGTTTTCAACGTTTTCATGAACTTTAACGGTGGTGATTTACAGATACATGAGCCATACAAATATGCTCTTACTCATCATTTCCCTTCCTTGCCCATTAGGCTACAGCAAATGTCATTTAGTTCAAGCACATACAAACTGAAAACACGTTGAATTCAAACACCTGTAAGAACTTCGTCCATTGTAGTTAACTGAACAGCCTCAGCTTAAATAAACAATCCTTAATGAAACAAACGTAGGGTATCTGCAGGTTTAAGGGAGCCAAATTTAAGACTTTTTAAGACCTTTTTTAAGGCCACTTAGACCAAATTTAAGCTATTTTTAAAATTAAATTTAAGCTATAATTTCCAGCTATTGCCTGAAACGGTGCTAACCACGTCGCGAACATGGGATTAACCATCCAGTTACCATTAAACTTGCACTTCCCCATGGCACAAGCTCCCACTAGCTTAACCAGCTAATGTGCGCATCTAAAAATAGCCCCCTTTCACAACCAACTGAATGTGTACGGTTCCGCTTACGCCAACATCATACACAAAAAATGCTGAACACTGACTAGAAATTCACAAAAATTTTATAGAAATAAAAGAATCTTGTTTATTGGGTCTTTGAAAATTTAAGACCTTTGGAAACTGTATTTAAGTATTATTTGTCATTTTTAAGGATTTTTAAGGCCTTAAATTTGGAAAAGCTAATTTAAGACTTTAAGACTTTTTAAGGACCCACAGATGCCCTGATAAATGTATTAAAAAAACCTTCTTAGCCCACTTTAGTCTGGGCAGCACTAAGTCTAGTCGTTAACTCGTCAATCCTGTGTATGCTTATTTGCTGTCATCATTGTTTCTGTAAAATAAACCGTTGGTTGTTACGATAAAAAGTTTCAGTTAAAGATTTCATATAAGTGACACACACAGTGATATTTGAGAAGTGAAACAGTTTATAGGATTTATAGAAAGTGTGCAATAATTTATAAACATAATGAGACAGGTGCATAAATTTGGGCACCACAAAATAAATAAACTCAATATTTAGTAGAAATAACAGACATTTTGCAGAAATAACAGTATCTAAACGCTTCCTATAGCTTCCAGTGAGTCTGGATACTGTATGTATTTTGGACCACTCATCTTTAAAAAACATCTCTAGTTCATTCAGGTCTGATGGCTTCTGCAGCTCTCTGTAACTCACACCATAGATGTTCAATAATGTTCAGGTCTGGGGACTGAGATGGCCGTTCCAGAACGTTCTACCTGTTCCTCTGCATGAAGGCCTTAGTAGATTCTGAGCAGTGTTTAGGGTTGTTTTCTTGTTGAAAGATCCAGCCCCGGTGCAGCTTCAGCCGTGTCACTGATTCCTGGACGTTGGTCTCCAGAATCTGCAGAGATTGAGTGGAATCCATGCATCCCTCAACTTTAACGAGATTCCCAGTCCCTGCACTGGCCACACAGCCCACAGCATGATCAACCACCATGTTTTACTGTGGGTAGCAGGTGTTTTTCTTGGAACGCTGTGTTGTTTTTCCTCCATGCATAACGCCCCTTGTGCCCAACTAACTCAGTTTTAGTTTCATCAGCACCTTATTCCAGAATGAAGAATGAAGGTGGCTTGTCCAAATGTGCTTTAGCAAACCTCAAGCAGCTGTTTGTGCTGTGGGTGGAGAAAAGGCTTCCTCTGCTTCACTCTCACATACAGCATCTCCTTGTGTAAAGTGTGCAGAATAGATGAATGACGCATAGTATCTCCATCCAATCCATTTCCTCAATATGTTCCAAACTGTGGAAACAGAAGCTGAAATCTCTGAGACAGCTTTCTGTATCCTTCCCCTAAACCATGATGGTAAACGACCTTTGTTTTCAGGTCATGTGAGAGTTGTTTTGAGACCCCCATGTTGATATTCTTCAGAGAATATTCAAAGAGGAGGGAAACTTACAATTGGTCCCTTAAATACTCTTTCTCATAACTGGATTCACCTGTGTGTGGAGGTCAAGGGTCACTGAGCTTACCAAACCAGTTTTGAGTTCCATTAATTAGTTCTAACGGTTTCGGAATCAATAAAATGACAACAGTGCCCAAATTTATGCACCTGCATAACTTTGTTTAAACAATTATCAGGGACAGCAGTAGCTCAGGAGGTAGAGCGGGTTGTCCAGTAATCAGAAGGTTGCAGGTTTGATCCCTGCTCCCACCAGAAAATGCCGCTATTGTGTCCTTGGGCAAGACACTTAACCCGCCTTGCCTGCTGCTGGTGGTGGTCAGAGGGATGGATGGCACCAGTGTTTGTCAGACCTTGCCTCTGTCAGTGCGCCCCAGGGCAGCTGTGGCTACATTGTAGCTAATCACCACCAGCGTGTGAATGTGTGGATGACTGATGGTGTAAAACCCTAAGAAGGCACTATACAAATACAGGGCATTTATTGCACACTTTCTATAAATCCTATAAACATTATTTCACTTCTCAAATATCACTGTGTGTGTTTCCTATATAATATATTTAACTTAATTTTTTACCAACAATTTATACAAGAAAAATCATGAAGATTAACATTACCCAAACCTTTGCATCCCACTGTTAATAAGCAGACTCCATAGACCTATTTTATGGCAGACCTCTCCATAGACATACAGTTGTGGTCAGAAGTTTACATACACTTGTAAAAAATATAATATAATGCCTCTACTGAGTGTCCCGTTATTTCTAAAACTCTGATTTTTCTCTGATAGAGTGATTGGAACAGATACTTCTTTGTCACAAAAAACATTCATGAAGTTTGGTTCTTTAATGTCTTTATTATGGGTTAACAGAGAAAAGTGATCACATTTGCTGGGTCACAAATATACATACAGCAACATGATCTAGCAATTTTGGTGACTTAGAAACGTGTCAGTGAACTGGGCTTCATAGCATGGCCTCTTAACTTCTTGTGAGTGATTATGAGTGACTACAGCTGGTGACTTCTCTTAGGCCAGGTAAATAGGGCTCATTGGATACAAACGCCCACAAACGCTACAATGGGAAAGTCAAAGGAGCTCAGCATGGATCTGAAAAAGCGAATTATTGACTTGAACAAGTCAGGAAAGTCACTTGGGGCCATTTCAAAGCAGCTGCAGGTCCCAAGAGCAACAGTGCAAACAATTGTTTGTAAGTATAAGGTGCATGGCACTGTTTCATCACTGCCAAGATCAGGAAGAAAACGCAAGCTATCACCTGCTGCTGAGAGAAAATTGGTCAGGAGGGTAAAGAGTGAACCAAGAATCACCAAAAAGCAGATCTGCCAAGAATTAGAAGCTGCTGGAACACAGGTGTCATTGTCCACAGTCAAACGTGTTTTGCATCTCCATGGACTGAGAGGCTGCCGTGCAAGAAGGAAGCCCTTTGCTCCAAAAGCGGCACCTTAAGCTCGACTGAAGTTTGCTGCTGATCACATGGACAAAGATAAGACCTTCTGGAGGAAAGTTCTGTGGTCAGACGAAACAAAAATCGAGCTTTTTGGCCACAATGCCCAGCAATATGTTTGGAGGAGAAAAGGTGAGGCCTTTAACCCCAAGAACACCATGTCTACAGTCAAGCATGGTGGTGGGAATATTATGCTGTGGGGCTATTTTGCTGCCAATGGAACTGGTGCTTTACAGAGAATAAATGGGATAATGAAGAAGGAGGATTACCTTCACATTCTTCAACATAACCTAAAATCATCAGCACGAAGGTTGGGTCTTGGGCACAGTTGGGTGTTCCAACAGGACAATGACCCCAAACACACATCAAAAGTGGTAAAGGAATGGCTAAATCAGGCTAGAATAAGGGTTTTAGAATGGCCTTCCCAAAGTCCTGACTTAAACCCCATTGAAAACATGTGGACAGTGCTGAAGAAACAAGTCCATGTCAGAAAGCCATCAAATTTAACTGAACTTCACCAATTCTGTCAAGAGGAGTGGTCAAAGATTCACCCAGAAGCTTGCCAGAGGCTTGTGGATGGCTACCAAAAGCGCCTAATTGAAGTGAAAATTGCTAAGGGACACGTAACCAAATATTAGCACTGCTGTATGTATGTTTGTGACCCAGCAAATGTGATCACTTTTCTCTGTTAACCCATAATAAAGACATTAAAGAAGCAAACTTCATGAATGTTTTTTGTGACAAAGAAGTATCTGTTCCAATCACTCTATCAGAGAAAAATCAGAGTTTTAGAAATAGCGGGACACTCAGTAGAGCCATTATATTATATTTTTTACAAGTGTATGCAAACCTCTGACCACAACTGTAAATATGTAGATGCCCCATTGGATGCTGGACAGCATAACAGCATTGCAGCCATCTTGGATGGGTTCCTCACTCTCCAAACCCAACTGGAGTCAATGCAGAGTGAGCAACTGTGCCCATTTTTGTGCAACCTACGGTTGCAACAATCGGCGTACTGTTGAAAACAGATCACGTGGGATTATTATTGACTTTTCTAGCCTAACTGTTGAGAGTTATATATATATATATATATATATATATATATATATATATATATATATTTTTTTTTTTTAATTATATTTGTATTTTAAACTGACTGTGTGTATTTTCTCTAGAGATGGGGGCAATACATACCTAAATCACTGCAAACAAGCAGTATTTGTGAGTTAAGTAAGACCTTACCAATGGTAGCCATTAGGGTCAAAAATCCCTGGGAGCGCAATTTTCGAAAGTACTTTGTCAGATTGTATGCATCAGACTCCCTTTCAACACAGGCAATGTGAAGAGGTAAATGTGTAAAACAACAATGTTTATGATTGGCAAAAGTTTTGTAACCTCTGTTACAAATCAGTAAATGCGTTTTGTCCTCACAGGCTCCCATTGAAGGAAATATGGCGTCTAATATGACATCGCCCTGAGACTCAGATGTATATTAGACCTGATTTTTATGTTTATATGTTACAATGCCGCCAATAATTTTCAACAACTGGGCATCATTTAATTAATTTTCAACAACATTTTGATGGATATTTCCAGAGATTAACGGTTAAAACTACACATTGTCACTTTAACTATCATGCCATTCTATGTGTCTTATTTTGTTAAAAAGGATAATAACATGTGCATTTTTTTTGTTGGGTAAGCACCTTCCTCAGTAGAAATAAATGCACTGGGGGCGAATGGGAAACCATCCAAGATGGTGGCCCGCTGGTACGCCAGCTCGAATAGGCAGCGCCAGTCCATGGGGTGTCAACATATATGATGTCTGTGGACCACTGTAATCTGCACTGTAACTTGGTCTTCTCCTTTAGCTCTAAACTGTAATTCTATCTATGTGTATTTTCATTTGTGTTTTCATATCATGTCCTGATAATTGTAAAGCGCACTGAATTGCCTCTGTGTTTGAAATGTGCTCTATAAATAAAGCTGCCTTGCCTTGCCTCTTGACTGGAAAGAGTAGGGTAAGCACAGGTGTTCTTCTTCTGTTTGTTATATGGTAGTAAGTGAGCAACGTTGTAGTGCGTTATCGCCACAAACTGGAAGTCTGGATCGAGATATTAAAAATAAACTTCCTAAATTTCTAAACAAAAACCAACAACTAAATTATCTCTGTTAATTTTGTCCGCTTCAGGACTAACAACAAAAACATATAACAGCCCAAACTACAAACTGAGACACGGGAGCATTAGCAAGGGTTCTGTCAAGGAAAACTTCTGCAGAAGTGGAATGCAGCCCTTGTTAACACATATGCGATCTCTCTATTTTTGCTAATAAAAATGTCTGCAATGACAAAAAAACCTATTCAGGAAGCTTTAAATACACTTCAGAATGGCTGAGACACCTCTGCAACACCACCTGTTTTCTACAAGTGTATAAATTAAAACCCACATGGCTTTTTAGTGAGCAGCGTTAAAAATGAACTAATCAGTTCTCACACAATCTTTTACCTTTTATCTGCCAAGTCTGTTTTGTTCCCAACAAGCATAATAATGACATCACTTCCTCTCTCTGTTCGAACATCATCAATCCATTTAGAAGTTTGCTGGAATGAGTTAAGATCTGCAAATGAAAACAAAAGACCAATTTAGTGCACGCGGCAGACATTCAGGCCACATAAGCACACTGCATGTTTCAATAGCTTTTAGCTTCTTTACAAAAACAGGTCATCTTATGCAAGTCGTGTGTTAGTAGGCAGTCGTTTTCTGAAGAAAAGCATGAAGAAGAAAAGTTCTCAAGAGGATCCTGAACACTATCACAGAAATCATGACAGAAAAACAAGCAGAAACTTTGTTTTTCTTACAGTTAGAAAGCCCCTACAGGAAAGTTAGAAGTACAGCCCTGACTCACTGGTGATGTCATAAACAACCACAGCAATGGTAGAGTCACGGATGTAGCTGGGAATTAGGCTACGGAAACGCTCCTGTCCAGCAGTGTCCCAAAGCTGGAGTCGGACCTGAGGGTTGGAACGTAGAAGAGCACAAAAAGGGTAAGGATACAGGAAAGCAGGGGAGGAAATGCAGAAGTGGAGAATGGGATAGATGTCAAGAGTTTGCAAGCAAAGCAGCAAAGAAAATGTAATTGCCTTTGGTGGAGGAATGGGGGGATTCTTTCAAGTGCAGAAGGCTGAGAGATGATGACTGTTATACATACAAGGCTGGTGAAAGGAGACCCTGCTGAGGTATTATTGAGACAGTTACAGACACTGATAATCAGTTTGATTTGTGACAGCATTTAGAAAGCAGACCCTTCTGGCCAGAGCTTTTTAATCACCACAGCAGATGCAAACAGGCCTCTCATGCTGTCCAACTGCTAAATGCTGGGGTCTCTGCCCTTCTATGTCATGAACGAAGGACAACAAGGAGAGGCAAGGCCATGATACCTACTGGCTATGTCATAAACCACCACAGCGGCCGCTGAGTCGCGGATGTAACTGGGGATGAGGCTGCGGAAACGTTCTTGTCCGGCTGTGTCCCAAAGCTGCAGCCGGATCTGTGGCCAGCCGGCCGGCAGTGATACAAATGAGGGAGCGTGGGAAGGGGGGAATGTCATGATCAAGCCAGGGGATGGAAAGGAAACAAAATTTTGACAAATAATGATAGGAACTAAATATTTATATATAAATATGTGATCACATTTTTATTTAAATGAATGACAAATGTAAGAGTGTAAAAAACCACAATGTGAACGATGAGCAGGAAATAAATGGTGGCTACTACACAAAAAGCAGATGCGTGCTTTTTAGCAGTATTGTTACTTCACCAGTGGGATGATGAGAACACAGTACAACATGGTAGAATGGGACTTACCGTGCGATCTTCTAGATACATGGTTTTTGACAAAAAGTCAATGCCGATTGTTGCCTGTAAAACAAACAACGTGCATTTAGACTATGTCCTCCAAATGTGAGTATAACGTGGACTGAACGCAGCAGGTAGAAAGAAGAGATATTCAGTATTATAAAGGTTCATTTACGTGTGGGCCAGTATTTTTTATGTTGATTTCAGATGCTCCAATGACTAGTTTGGAGAAAATGTGAGCATCTTCATATCCTAATATTGTAATAAACAGGAACAATAATAACCAGTTTTCCACATCTTGTGTAAACATCAAAAGATTACTCTGAAAAAGCTTTATGTGAGTGCAAACCATTTCATATTCAGCATAACGGCGTATCTATCAGGAAATAAGGGCAATAGTTCAGACTAAATCAGACTTCTCAGACACACATTATTTGGGAATTTCGGCCAACAGTTCCTGATGTCATCAGTTTCAGGTTTTACCAAATCTAGGCTGTTGTCCCAAAATATTTGTCTCAAAGCGTACTTTGGCAAGGAGATATATACAAATATATCATCCTGCAAGATGCCCAGCCAGGTCCTGTGGAAACAAGCCCCAACCATCATCCCTCTACCACCATGCTTTACAGCAGGTACCAGTTGTTTGCTGCTGATCTGTCTCGTCTTTGTTCAAATGCAGGTTTTCAAAGCTCAGGCTATGCTAGTTTAAGGCTATTTTTGTTTTGCATTTGTTTTCACAATAAAACATACAATCATCAAATGGTAAAAGAAAACATGCAGGCAACACATGCAGTAAGAAACTCCTAGGACATCACTATATGTCTCACCTCAAGAAAATAATAAAAGCTTTTCCAGCAACCAAGATAAAATAATAAACATGTATCAGAAAAATAAATTAATAAGAAAAAATATGGCTCAGTTTATTATGCTAAAGTCAGGGTATTTCCTGCGTTCAAATTTGCATGGCAGCCACCCCCAGCTAATTTTGTGCCGCCCCAGCCTGATTTCACTCTGCCCCCAGCTATATGGATGTTATTTTAACTGCAGTTGCAGCGTTACACCACTACAGGGGCGCTGTATCAGCAGCGGTGCACCGAAAAGCGCTTAGGCAAGCCGTTGTAGTATAATTCACAAACGCTTCTATCTTTGAACATAATTTAAACTGGATTATTGCCAACCCATACATAATAGACATGCCATCATTACAATGTTAACTCATTCACTGCCATTGACGACTAAAGTCGTCATTTTAGATCCAACCATTCACTGCCAATGACGACTAAAGTCGTCATTTGCATTTTTTTACTGTTTGAGCATCGGAACGAGCCCCCGCGCTGAGAGAACAAACATCTCAGCCCTGAAGCTGATCTTCATCCGCATACGTCACAGATCACATGATCAGGAAGCAACACATCCATGTGTTTGGAGGTCGTTTTGGGCCGCTCTTGTAAAAAAAGTGAGGCGCGAACCAGAAAAGCGTCTGCCGATCACAATTCGACAACGGATTATGAAAGAACGGATAACGCTCAAAACACGCGGCTTCTTCCTGATGTAAGAGGTGAGTCTCCTCTTTGTTTCGGTTGTTTTGGCATCGACATCATGCTAGCACGCAACGTTCTGTGACTCGTGAGAAACGCTGGCAGCGAAGGCCGTTAGTGGTCAGGAAACAGCTGGCAGTGAATGAGTTAACAGCAGAAATTATATGTTATTACCATTTCTAACACAAATGCATGTTAATGAAATGCATTATAATTTACTGGATGTATTTATGTGTTTCTTTGACTAAGACAAGTGTTATTAATACAAAGCTAAAATGTTACTGAAATGTAGATCAAATATCTAAAAATATTTTTTACTTTAAATATCAGATGGGAAAAAGGGAACTAAACACCAATCTAATGCATATTGTTGAGCCTTTTATAATAAGAGTCTGTTATTTCAGCCTGATAATTTTGTTGTTTTATTTCATATTTTTTAGCAGCAATCCAGTTTTGTTTCACTTGAAACGTTGTCAATTAATCAACAGAAGCTTTGATTAGAACACTTACGAAAAAATATTTTGCCTTCAAAAAAATGAGGCAGTTGAATGCACAGAGTATGCATGTGCTGGCGCATGGTCAGGATGGTACCACCTCTGCCTCAATTTGAGCCAGGAAAAACCCTGAAAGTTATAATAAATGTGTGGAAAACTCATTCAATCAATACTTTTGCAGTGGTCTCTAGTAGGAATGAATGCCTTGCAAGTCATACTCAGGTCAAAAAAAGCCCAGAAGCGCTTGGATCAGCAGGGACAAGTCTGCTGCAGCAGAGAGTGGCAGAACACGGCAGGATTTGGAGTCTTATTTCCTGATATTTTGTCATCTCGCCTCAGATTGGATAACAGCAATGTGGCTTTACCACTGTCTTGCAACACTGATGTTTTATCTCTACAAATAATACAAGCCTAGAGGCAGGGCCGTTGCTTGCTATTTTGGTGCCCAAAGCACAAAGGCACCAAAAGAAAAAAAAAACACAATAATACATAGTATGTCGCCTTAAATAATCTTTAATTCTCTTGTATGCACAACCTGCTTATTATTTCCAAAAAGTAGGATGGATATTTACATAATATAACATACTCAACACAGGAACTCCATATTGTTATTATTTAGAACTATGTAACAGGTCCACACACCACAAGCACAGATTGTGGCACGTGTGTTTCTCCAATGATAACCCTTCTCCTCCTTGAATGTACTTGCTCATTGAGCCTGCATTCAAACACAAAAAGATAATTTGTCATATTCATTCTATAATAAGATAAAAGTTTTAAACCATGGTAAAAAAAATACTGCAATAGATTATTTATAGGTTTATATTGGCTTATAAATCACTGGCATGTGGCATGACTAAATTCAAAACTATTTAACCTTTAATGAGGACTAGAGAGGCACAATATACACACAACTAGAAAATTCTGAATATGAAGGGAGGAGGTTAGCATAATGGACTTTTTTCTTCAAATTATACCATCAGCAGCTGATGTTCCCCTTGGCCCATAAATGTTTATGAAATATATATTAACATAGAGCAAATACCTAATTTGAAAATAGGTTTATCTAATTTTTCATATTAAATCTCAGTTACATAGCCTATAGGCCACATACGCTATTTAATAATGATATAAATCATGTCCATAGTTAACTCATGATTAATCACAAACAGCTGCTTATTTAAAAATAAAATTTCTTACTTTACCTTGATGGTGTTTTTGTCCTTCCTGTTTTTGTGATATTTATCAAGTATTTGGGTGGACAAATATGATTCATTTGTTTATTTCTGTTGCAAAACAGCACAGATGGGCCTACCTGACCTCACAGAGGAAACTTTATTTTACTTGAGAAAGATGTTTTAAGATGAACTTATTAAAACAAAAAAATCTTCAAACTCTTCAAGGTCTATTTTTAGATGAACAACCTTTAACACTGTTCAGACTTATTTTTTGATACAAGTCGCATGAACAGGCTGAATAAAAGGATATTTCCCTTTGTTGCATTTAACTATTTCTTCTTCTTTATAGAAGTGCTGATTCAGAAGAGAATAACTGCATTTAGGAAGATGATGACTTGCTACGTTTTTTCTCCAGCAGTAAAAAAGCTCTAAAGCTTCTCTGAGTTTCTCTCCCTCTCAGCCTCTCTCACTCAGCTACTAATGAATGCCCAATAAGCAGGGCCAGATTAACACTTTGTTGTACCCTGGGCAACAATATTCAAGGGCCCCATCATCACGACCCAAGGATCACCATTATATGGTCACATACAGAATATTTTACTGTAATATGCAGTAAATATACTCAATACTTGAATGCCTGACATGATGAAACCCGCTCAGGGTAACCTTTGACCCACCTCGTGTGGACTGACCAATGAGGAGAGGGTCTTAACTTGAGGCCCTCTCTTCATTGGTCAGTCTGCATGAGACTGGCTCTCAACTGACGTTCAGTCATAGGCAGCGAATAGTCTCTGTGCAGCGCAAAAGCCCGGGTGGACAGTTTGTTTAATGTAGGGTGATCATATTTCCATTTCCAAACAAGAGGACAGGGGATCTGTGCCTATGATGTCACACTATGGAAACGCCACACAAACCACTTTGGGACTCATTTTTTGTAAGAACTAAATTAATATCAGATTCTGCCAATTAAAGGGCTCTAAAACAATTCATATGTGAATATTTAGCATATTTATTGTAAAATCTCATTTTTTCTGCTTTAATGCTGCAACAAGGTTTTATTAATAATAAATTATTATACCTTTTGTTTTACTACAGCATCGGTACGCTTCCTGTGCACAGATTATTAAGGATGCTTGTTTCAGCTGTGAGATTAGACGATAGGATCAATGAAAAAATAAGTTGTCACACACTCCATGGAAACTTTCAGAGAATCCACAAATAGTGGCTTTCAAATGGTTTTGTTACTTTTTGCAAGTTTATAAAAGAAGCAGATGAGACAGCATGTCTGATAATTTAGTTTTTCATCTGATAATATTAGAACATGTCAGTAATGTCTGAGGGGCTTTTATAAACACCGTATAACTAACACTCCTGGAGAGGGTATGAATTACACTGAGGCTTCTGGGGAGCTCAGTTATGGGGTGGTGGTGGTGATGTGTGTGTGTGGGGGGGTCATTTTGCCTTGGCCCCCAAAATGTCTTGAAACGGCCCTGGGTGTGTGACTGAGTTTTGAAGGTGATCTGAATTGTATCAGATGTATAAATATTACATGTGTATTGTTATTGTTTTATACAGGTAAAAACGTGTAGTGGAGATAAATCTACATTTTATTTTTCAACACTTTTCAACAAGTTTTGTTTTCTTGTTTTTATTTAGCTATTTTCCTGTCCTGTCTGTCTCTCATCTTCCTGCATCTCCTCTAAACTCTCCAGAAAAACTGCTGCCTGGATTCTTACTTTTTCACCTCATCAGTTACTTTTGAGCAGATCAAAGGGATCTCCTGACCGCAAAGCGGAGAGCGCGTTTCGATGCTGCGTCAGTGAGGTGAAATCACCACAGCACAGGTGATGAGCTCCGCAGTAGCAGAGCGCTTCAGGCACAAATTAGACAGAAAGTAGAGAACATGTGCGGACATCAATGATCGTGTGTAAATTATAGTTTTTTGGTTGCACCACTTTGAGAATGGACCGTGTGCTGGACAAGCAGCTGCCTGGAGCTCTGGACGCAGCAGCCTGGAGTGCTGCGCAACAACGATCAGCGTTGTGCCGCTGTCTGTGCTCTCTGCTCAAAAGAGTCCATAAATGATGTCATAAAGGTAGAAAACTTTTTTTCCAGCTCCCCTGGATGTGTAGGATATACAACTCCCCCATAATTCGATCCCTGCTCCTGGATGAAGAGCCGGACATTTTCATCAAAACAAGAACCCCCAGTCCGGACGCCCCGGACAGAGAGTGAAAAGTGGACACGGTCCATCTCCTTTCCTTTTTGTATTGTTTTCTCTCTGTAAACATGCTGTTAACTTGCTTAGCACATCTTGAAATCTGTCTTTATCATATATATATTATTTTTTCATAAGCTTGCGTTTGGTGCCCCTCCCCCAGCGTGGTGCCCTACACGCTGTGCGTGGTGTGCGTGTGCGGAGTGCCGGCGCTGCCTAGAGGAGCTTCTACTGTGTGGCCGAGTTGCTAATGCTAATATTTAGTTTCTAATAATCGAGACGGGTTCTAGTTTTCTGAATGCCAAATTAACAACAGCCTTTCTCATCATGAGTCAAGATGGGTGTGTCCATGAATGATAAGTGACAGTGTGATGTAGATCTGTTAGGATTTTTAAATCCTAGAGTTTCACCATCTATTTTCTATCAGGAGCTAATGCAGGAGATGTGTAGGAGACTGTTTTCATGTTCAGCCTGCATAAACCTCAGAGTGATTGATCATAATCAGAAATATTATTAAAAATGTTGCTTCAGTCAACCACATCTTTAGTGTATCCCATCCAAACTGTCTTACATAAATGTGTTTGAATGTAGGTTTAAATAACAAGTGGGTGGAGTTGTTTTATCTGTCTTTTATTATGCTTGTAAACAAAAGCAGCAGTCTAAATTTACAAGTGAGGAAAGTTGTGGATGAGACACGAGTTACTGCATTATTTACAATAGAAAATTTTAATCAGCATGTAATATAATAAAAAATGATTTAGTCTGAACCTTTTAGACATTCTACCAAGATTAGAATTTGATTTGATTAGTAATCATCAACAAAAACTACAAGAGAGAGAATCTGTGTGGCTGCCGCAAAGACCAAAAATCGCCGAGCCCAATCAGAGCATTTCCATTGGCTGTGGTGCGGGACGGATCAAGATGTGGAGCTCTGGAATGTTTCTGCGTGGTTTTTAATTTTTCCGGATGCTGCGTGCGGATTGTCATGAAGTTGAAGAAATTACATGATCCAGTGTTCCAGCTAGGTTTATTTGTAAATAACACCTGTGCTGTCCAACTTCTGTCATTGTTGTTCATGACCGGGATATTGTTTCACAGTATATTATGCTTTGAGAAGACAAGAGTGACTTTTGTGCACCAGCTCCTCTCTGTACACGCAGTTGTTATCACGTGAACTTGTGAGCAACTTTCCAGAGACATTCAGCACACGATCCACAGTTAGTGTAAGCAGCAGTCTGTCTGGAAGCCACATGGATTCAGGTCTACATCCATTCCACACTTGCTGTAAATGAGGGGTTAGCGTTCTCTTCTCTTTAGGAATGCCGGCTTAAATGAAGCATTACAGAGGCTAACAACACAGCTTGAACAATAAACGTCTGAAACTGCAATGATTAATTAATATGGATTACATCTGTGCGAAGATGTTTAAAATTTTATAACATCTATAACTTTATATACACCTGATCTCCAACACTGGTCACTTTTCTGTCTGTTCCAGACCTTTACTACAACCCACCCGATCTGACTCAGTGACTTCATTAAACCACTAAATCAGGTGTGTTGGAGCACAGCAACAAATAAAACATGCAAGGTGGTGGATAATTGAGGACCAGGATTAATGGCCTGTCACGATTCATCTATGCTTACCTGATAAGTGTTGTCGAAGCTGTCATACATAAACCTGGTTATGAGGGAGGTCTTCCCAACTGTAAGAAGGAAACAAAGCAAGTCAAGTGTTCAGCAGCTGGAAAGTTAGTAACACTGCAAGATGATCAAAAGATGCATACCTAATCTATTTTTTTATGCATATTTTTGCTGGAATCCCAGAAATAAAACCTAATGCCAGTGATGTCACTGGGTGAGTAAACCTGCTCCCATCACTGATGCAGAGAACAGCTGAACCCACACGCTGAGCTGGCAGTGAGGGTGGAGCCACAACATTTCATAGATTCACACGACTGCTTCTAAGCTTTTTGCTCCATAAGATGTTGGAAACATAACATGACACAGAACATTACTAAAATACGACCACACATGGCAGCGTGAGGTTTAGTGCCTGAAGATGACCTCGGAGAGGAAAAAGGCCGAGCCCAGCTGCTCTGGACACAGAAGCCGACGTGGCTCTGGAAGATGCTGTCAGCTAATTACTAGCTACCTGTTAAAATGTCAAATTAAGATATTAAAACTTAATTTCCCCTAGATTTTTAGAGAGCCCTTTTAAATAAACCGTTAGCATGCGTATAACCAAAATAATGGCCCATGTTTTAAAATTAAGTTAATATTAGTTAACGTCCATAAGCACAGTTGGCTAACTTAGCTACGTTTTTAGCATCACGCTATAGCTAGCTAGTGGTGATGCATGAGCAGCCCTAAATTACTGCAATTGCTCCACTTTGGCAACAAACAAATGTGTAATAATGTCACTGATACAACAGTTTGAGTCATTTATCACCGTTGTAAGATGTTTTTGTATTCGAATGAACAGTGAATTGTTAGGCTAGCTTGGTGAGCCGCAGTCGGCTAATGATCGCTAGCTACCAAATCCTATCAGCGCGAATGTGGAAATAATAGGTTGGTAGATTTCTATTCTGCGTCATCTCTAACACGTTTACTTTGACATCTTGTTCCACATCGCTGCTAGTCACTGATGCTCATCTGATTACTTGGCCCAGCTGGCAAGAGACAAGCCAACACGGGATGCTAGGTAGCTAATCCTGACACTAACTTCTCTAAATACGACATTTAAACTGTTATGAAGTCGTCTCCATCTTACCACTCTGTTCACCCAAGAAGACGAGCTTGAATTTCCTTAAAGGGTTGCCAAACTCGCCGCCGCCGGTCGTGGTGGACATTTTGTGTAAAATATCTAGCTAAAGTAGCAGACTTGTGGCTAATGATGTGATGTCTAGACCGGGGAGAAGACCAAACCGAGGATCTTTCTCCTGCACAAGCCAGCGCTTTTGTTTTCTTACTCAGACTGCAGTGAAATAGCGCAACCAAGGGGCAAACAGCGAGACGCAACAGTAAGAGTCTACTCTTTTATATTAGGATCCCTTATTTATTATTATATCGTGAAAATGTACATTTCTATGGATTTTTACCACAAATGGATCGTTTACTAAGCAGCTGACTTAAGTTAAATCATTGATTCATCTCAAATTTTTTCATTCCCCTTTTTGTTTCCAAGAAGAAGACTTTAGTTTTTAAAATTGATATTGAGCAACTTTTCTTGCAGCTTTCTATAGGCCTTTTAAAATGTCAAAGACACCAAGGGTTACTGTATATTGCAATCTATTACTACTGCATACATATTTGCAGTTTTGCATATATTTTATGCAAAATGACAAAGGACTGATACGAGTTTATTTGAGTATTCACTTCACAACATCAATATTCATCCTTTCAAATTGCTTCAATACAACAATCAACATTCTACATTTAAAACAATTTTTTGCACAAATACATGCTTGACATGTAGTACACATTTAGCTATACACGATTATATTAGTAACGCTATTCAAAAAATATCAGGAAGTAACTGAACTTTTAATGTAATTTACAAAAATGTATATACAGGAGTAACAAGACCATAGGAGTGAATGTATGACACAGAGTTGTGCTTCTTCACAGATCATTTGTCTTCTGTATTTTTGGTAAGAAAGATGATTTTCCTTTTTCTCATTCGTCTATGTTCTCAAATGCGATGTCTGTCCTGTAAATCAAGTGGAGATGAATATTTTAACAACACAATTAAAGAGAACACATGATTTATATACGGTAGTTATAATAGTTCTATGGTCGATACAAGACATGTTCATGAAGTTTTTTGCACAAAATCCCTTTCATGTAAAGTTACTTCAGCATTACTATGCTTGACAGTTTCAGTACTTTCCACAATAAGCAGTTTCAGGGCTCTGTCACTGTAAAGCCCAGTTTATGCTTCTGTGTCAGCTCCACAAGGGAGAGATGTACACTCACTGACACTGAAACGTTTTGCTCTTGGAATTCTCCGTCTCCTGGGGAGTGTTGCAAAGCAATTCCCCATCAGGACAACAGAGGGTGGAGCTGCTCCATATCTGCTGCTAGATATCTTCAGCTCTCTTTATGTTTTTGAGGGGGCAATGGCGGTGCTGTTGATGAAAGTGGCATCCTGACCAGTCACAAGCATGCATTCTCTGTCTCGTTCGACAGATGTTTAGAAAAATGGGCTCAACTTCGTCCGTCCTCGTGAGCCTGCTGGAGAGCCCTTGAAAGGATGGATAATAATGCTGCATGTCTCTGTACCGACGCAGAAGCATAAACTATGTTTAAGAACGTAAGCTGAAGCTGGCCACGCCCACTCATCCCTTGCTCAGGTTCCATCCATCCATCCATCCATCCATCCATCCATTCATTCATTCATTCATTCATTCATTCATTCATTCATTGCTCAGGCTGACCAATTCAGCAAAAATAACCGGAAGTCGATCCCCACCATTACTGCGATGGTAGCTCCCAGTCAGGCAGCCATAGGCGCTGTGTGTTAAGCAGGCTTTTGAAAGTAAGCAGTCTAGGAACGTTGAGGAAAGCTGGGAGGATGTGTGCAGTCGTCAGCTGTTCTGTATACAGCAGAAAACTCTAGATCTGGAAAAAAAATCTTGTGCAAGATATCGTTGTCCATGCAGGGCCTTCCTATTAGACCCTGCTTGAAACCTTCTTCACCTTAGGAGCACTGAGGCATGGCTGCAGTAGCACTCTCTGCCTGCAGTGCAATCAACCTGGAGGTGTAAAATTTACCTGACCCATTCCGAGCTAGTGTCATTTTGACCCTCAATCACAGACCTGTAGCTGCAGTTTTTCTGGTCATCAGACGTCAGCCGTTAAATAAAGTATTCTTGAATATCTAAAACAAAACACAAACTTGTGTTCTGTTTTTTATGTCACATAGCCTGTCCATAACGATTGAATGTCACTGTTAGCTTGCAAACTTCAGCACACTTAAGCTATAAGCACCATGTTTAACGGTGCAGTCTATTATCTCCCTATTAAACTTTCCTGTTATTCCTCAAACAAATGATTAATTCATAAATTAAAATTGGTATTGAATTAATATACCTTCATCAGTTACTGGTTGCCACTGTCTAATATAATCAATCCAGGTAATCATCATGCTGTCACTAGGGGGTCAATTTACAATGACAGCAAAATGAATGACATTGCGGCAATGGTGGTGCAGCAAGATGGCGACACCCACAAATCACTTACTGAATTTGTCTATAAACTGAGAAATGCTGATATCCAGGAGGGGCTTTTTGGTTGGATGTGAGGGGTGGTTCTATTTTAATTTCCCCATTTGTGACATCATTAACAGGGATTTTTTGAAACAGCTTGTTTTAGGCACACAATTCCTAAAACCAAACACTGACAGAAAATGGATGGATACATTTTTTCACATTTGTAGTGTTTGAAGAGATCCACATGGTAGCATAAAAAAAGATTCACAAGGTGAGTTTTGCATAATAGGTCCCCTTTAAATTCTCTAAATCAGCAAGCAATCATGTATAGAACAAATAACTCAAATATAGGCACTTTTGTAGAATGAGGTAGTCCACTTCTTACGTAGGTTTATCAATTTATCTCATGCAAATAGTGACAGCCACTGTGCAGCTTTCCAAATCAGAGCAGATGTGAGGATTTTGAAAGTAATCACACAAAAACCATCCATCCATCCATCCATCCATCCATCCATCCATCCATCCATCCATCCATCCATCCATCTGGCCAGTAGCTCGAGCAGGGAGGCCCAGACCTCCCTCTCCCCAGCCACTTGGGCCAGCTCCTTCGGGGGAATCCTAAGGCATTCCCTGACCAGCCGAGAGACATAGTCCTTCCAGCATGTCCTGGGTCTTCCTTTAGGTCTTCTCCCAGTCGGACGTGCCTGGAAAACCTAATCCAGGAAGGCGTCCAGGAGGCATCTTAACTAGATGCCCGAGCCACCTCAACTTGCTCCTCTTGATGTGGAGGAGCAGTGGGTCTACTCCAAGCCCCTCCCGGATGACCAAGCTGCCCACCCTATCTCTAAGGGAGAGCCCAGTCACCCTGTGGAGAAAACTCATTTCATCAGCTTGTATCTGCAATCTTATCACTACCCAAAGCTTGTGACCATGGGTAAGAGTTGGAACATAGGTCGACCCATAAATCGAGAGCTTTGCTTTCCAACTCAGCTCTCTCTTCACCATAACAGATCGGTACAATGCCCACATTACTTCAGACACAGCACCAATTTGCCTGTCGATCTTGCGGTCCATCTTTCTCTCACTTGTGAACAAGACCCCAAGATAGTTAAACTCCTCCACTTGGGGAAGGACCTCATCCCTGACCCGGACAAGGCATTCTACCCTTTTCTGACTCAAGACCATGGTCTCATATTTAAAGGAGCTGATTATCATCCCAGCTGCTTCCCACTCACACACCGCTCCAGTGACAGCCAGAGATCACATTCTGATGAAGCCAACAGGACCACATCATCTGCAAAAAGCAGAATCTCAGTCCTTAGGCCACCAAAACAGATCCCCTCAACACCTTGGCTGTGCCTAGAAATCCTGTCCATAAAAGTAATGAACAGAATCAGTGAAAAGGGCAGCCATTTCACTGGAAATGAGCGAGACTTACTGCCGGCAATGCGGACCAAGCTCTGGCACCGGTTGAGATTGGAGAGCCCAACCCAAAGTCCTCTGACTCTGCTTCCTCACTGGAAGACGTGTCGTGGGATTCAGGAGTTCGTCAAAGTACTCTTCCACCAATCCACAATGTCTCGAGTGGAGTTTGGCAGCACATCATTCATACTATTGTTGGTAGCGCACTGCTTTCCCCTCCTGAGATGCCGGATGGTGGACTAGAATCTCCTCAAAGCCATAGGAAAGTCTTGCTCTATGGTCTCAACTAACTCCTCCCACGCCTGGGTTTTTGCCTCTGTGATCACCCGAGCCACATTCTGCTTGGCCTGTCAGTACCCATCAGCTGCCTCTGGAGTCCCACAGGCCAAAAAGACCCAATAGGACTCTTTCTTCAGCTTGACAGCATCCCTAACCATTGGTGTCCACCAGCGGGTTTGGGGATTGCCACCACAAAAGGCACCGCCGAGCCTGCAACTGCAGCACCGGTCGACCACCTCGACAATAGTGACCACCTCGACATTCAGTGTATCTTGGCTTGGACAATCCTCTACCGTGCACCATCTTGCCACAGGAGTCCCCCAGGGCTCTGTACTAGGACCTCTTCTCTTTGCCATATACACTACCTCACTGGGTGAGATCATTCGATCACATGGCTTCTCCTACCACTGCTATGCAGATGACACCCAGCTCTATCTGTCATTTCCACCGGACGACCAAACTGTCTCTGCACAAAAATCAAACTGTCTCGCTGACATATCAAAATGGATGAAATCTCACCATCTCCAACTCAACCGCTCTAAAACTAAACTACTTGTCATCCCAGCAAAACCATCCATACAGCACAATGTCTCTATCCAAAATGACTTCCTATCTCTGGCTCCTTCAAAGGCAGTTCGAAATCTGGGTGTTGTGATTGATGAACACCTGAGCTTAAAAGATCATGTTGCCTCTGTTGCTCGTTCATGCCGCTTTGCGCTGTATAACATACGAAAGATCAGACCGTACATAACACAACATGCCACCCAGCTCCTGGTGCAATCTACTGTCATCTCCCGCCTCAATTACTGCAATGCCCTTCTAACTGGTCTTCCAGGCTGTACTGTGAGACCTCTTCAAATGGTCCAGAACGCAGTGGCGCATCTGGTCTTCAATCAGCCAAAAAGAGCACACGTCACCCCTCTGTTCATTGAGCTCCACTGGCTACTGCTAGCAGCATGCATCAAATTCTAATTGCTAACACTAGCATACAAAGTCTGAGATGGTACGGCTCCCAACTACCTGAATCCTCTTGCAAAGGCTTATGTCTCGGCCCGGCCGCTCCGGTCATCACAGGATTGTCAGCTAGCAGTGCGTACACCACGCTCAGGACAATCCAGACTTTTCTCATGCATTGTTCTACAAATGTGGAACGACCTTCCAAGCACTACCAGAACAGGGGCTTCCTTTTCAATTTTCAAGAAACTCCTGAAGACCCTGCTCGTCAGAGAGCATCTTCTTAACTAGCACCCTGCCTGTACCCGTCCCCCCTCTCTACTGTCCACTCCTTGTTCCCTACTCTCCATGACTGATGTCAAGTTGTTGTTGTTATTGTTGTTGTTAGCCTCAAGGGCAATATGCCGATTATCACTTGTAAGTCGCTTTGGACAAAAGCGTCTGCTAAATACATAAACATAAACATAAACAATAGAAGCACGGAATATGACCCACTCAGACTCAATGTCCCCCGCCTCTCCTGGAATTTTTTGGAAGTTCTGTCGGAGGTGGGAATTGAAATTACTTCTGGCAGACTCTGCCAGATGTTCCCAGCAGACCCTCACAATACGTTTGGGCCTGTCTGGTCTCACCGGCATCCTCCCACACCATAGAAGCCAACTCACCACCAGGTAGTGGTCAGTTGACAGCTCCGCCCCTTTCTTCACCCGAGTGTCTAAGACATGTGGCCGCAGATCACATAAAATGACAACAAAGTTGATCATCGAGCTGTGGCATAAGGTATCCTGGTGTCAAGAGCATATATGGACACCTTCATGTCTGAACATGGTGTTCATTATGGACAATCCATGACGAGCACAGAAGTCCGATAACAAAACACCATTTGAATTGAGATCAGGGGGCCGTTCCTCTCAATCACACCTTTCCAGGTCTCACTTTTATTGCCCACATGAGCGTTAAAGTACCCCAGCAGAATGAGGGAGTCACCGGAAGGAGCACTCTCCATCACCCCCTCAAAGGTCTCCAAAAAGGGTGGGTAGTCTGAACTGCAGTTTGATGCATAAGCACAGACAACAGTCAGGACCCGTTCCCCCACACATAGGCAAAGAGAAGCTACCCTCTCGTTCACCAGGATAAACCCCAACATATAGGCAACAATATGGGGGGCAACTAGCATGGCTATCCCCTGCTTGACACCTTTCAGTGGGGGCAACTCCAGAGTGGTAGAGTATCCAGCCCCTCTCAAGGAACCTGGTTCTGGAGCCAGAGCCATGCGTTGAGGTGAGTCCTCTCAACCTCGCACACCAACTCAGGCTACTTCACCACCAGAGAGGTGGCATTCCATGTACTGAGAGCCATCTTCTGTAGCCAAGGATTAGACCGCAAAGGTCCCCGCCTTCGGCTACCACCCATCACACATTGCACCTGACCCCTTTGGCCCCTCCCACAAGTGGTGAGCCTACGGTGAGGAGGACCCACGTGTCTTCTTCGGGCTCCATGGGTGAAAGCCCGGCCACCAGATGCTCATCGGCATGCCCCCTTCCAGGTCTGGCTCCAGAGGGGTCCCTGGTAACCCAGGTGAGGGAACACTGATTCCATAGAAACATTTTGAACATTGAAGGGTTAATTTTAGAGTTTTGGCATGCTTAAATGACAATGACCATTGAAGAAGTCAACATTTAAAAATATACTCCATTTGAGTTGATCTCACATAAGCTAATGAGACTCATTGCAAATTGTTGTAGTTCACAAAATACACTATTACAGAGGAGAGAAAATCAGCACCAGTTATGACCAGAAAATACTTCCAACAGGGATTTTTAATACTTACACTTCTGCTCATTATTCACAGATGATGTGCAGCAAATAAACAAAATAAAAAATGACCGGATCAGAAGATTAATTGACATTTTATTAGTCTGAGGACAATAATCCCAGTTTATTAATTAGTATGTGTAAGAAAATGATACTAACCTGCTGGTTTGGGGCACATCAGAATCAAGGGAAGTTCCAGGACGACGTCACTGAGATGAAAAAAAAAAAGTTAAAATTTTAATACGTGGAAATGTTGTTTGTGTCCTTTTAGTAAAACTAGATCATAACAACTAAGACAAGGATGATAGTACCTTCCTGTTAGGCCACCCAGCAGGCTTCAGTGAGGGAAAACAACAAGACAAGTTATGCTTCATCAGAAAAACACAAAAGTGTTCTGAATTGATGTGTTCAGTTTAGCAACATCTCACCCTCCTCCAGATGCTGCTACAGTAACCTTCACTTTGTAGGAAACAATGATTCCCTGCATTTCCTTATCCCCTTGACTCCTGTGTGAGGACAGGAATAGTTTACCTTTCAGAGCTGAGGATTTGTGTAAGTGGATGAGACGCTGTACTGCTGCATTAGTGCCACTCGTTAAGTGGATGAAAACCTGTCCTGTCCTCACTTTAAGCTCTTTGGTTTGAGAGAAAGTAGATTGTCTTACAATGTTGTGGATGCCAAGTTGGTGTCCTCATCTTTTAGCCTCCCATCGACTGCAATGCCTCGCTTCTCTTTGTTGTTAGCCAGCAGAGGGGTTACCTGGAAGTTTTTCTCATATGTGGAACATGCACCTACAGTTTCTCTGTGTAACAAAAGATAAATAAACGAAAAGACATGAAAAACAATGCACATTTTAAACATTACTATTTTAATTATGATCATTATAATGCTTTAAATGGCAGGTCAATCACATCGTAGATCAAATTTCAGTTCTTATATTCTTTTGAAACATGCACTCAAGTAATTTAAACTAAAGGAAACTAAAAGAAAATTCTACTAAACTAAAATACATTTAAAAATATGGGGATGCTGGAGAAAATATATTGTTACTTTAATATTATCTTCACTTTATATTATTTTTAATCATTGTTCCTTCAAATAAAAAAAATAATCCAGACGTTTTTTATTTTTTCTGTAGAAGTTAGGTGCACAACATTTGAGTGACATCCTATGGTCAAATTTGGGTACTGCAGCCCATATTTAAAACACTCAAAGCTGTTGCCAGATGATTTTAGATAACAAACAAAGACGAGTCATGCACAGTAAGTTGAGATGTAGATAAACACATTTCACTGTAATATGACGTTGTTGGTAATTGGAAAAGTAGCTTGAGATATATTTGGAACCAATTATTAAAACTAATTATTTTAAATGTGTGAGGGGAGGGGGGTTGGGGGGATGAAACAAACAAACAAACAGACTAGTATGTATTCATATGTGTATATATGTATGTATATAGATCTATAACTTAATGCTTCTTTCTGTGTAAATTGTTTTCTCTTTTTTTTCAAATTCATGGGTTGAGATTGTGTTGGCCAACAAGTCCAGGAACTATATTGTTCAATTTCTTTAAGAATCATATGATTGTTTCATTTGTATTAATGTTATTTTAGTTAAAAGGGGCAGACAACATAAGTTTTTCTTCTTTCTGTCCCCTTTTTCATTTTGGCTTGCAGCAATTTAGTTTTGTATTTTTACTTTAATGTCAATAAATGAAAATAAAAGAAAAAAAATTGCTTCTAATTCACCGTTAGCATTGTTAGCTCAGCATTAGCCTCTAGCCTTCTTTAGCCAGTAGAGTAAAAAGAAAGGTGCTGTGGCTTCTTACTTGTACAAGAAATAACTTCTTGGTTAGTCCTGTTTACGGCTTAGGTTCTTTATAAAACACAGCTTTTGCCGGCTGTTGTCAAATTACAAATGCTAACGTTGCAGTGTTAACTCCTTGCAGAGTCAGCACCACTGTAGGCTCACATATTGTAAACACAGACTACGTCCCTTTTTAGCTTTTTTAAAGGAGAAAAACGGACAACCACCAAGCCGGCTGAGAAGGAATTCTGTTTCTGTGTAAACTTCCTTCAATTCAATTCATTTTAAGTTTATTTATATAGCGCCAAATCATGACAAGAGTCATCTCAAGGCACTTCACATAATAAACATTCCAATCCAGGTCAGTTCATTAAGCCAATCAGAAAAAAATGTTTCCTATATAAGGAACCCAGCAAATTGCATCAAGTGACTGACTAGTGTCAGTGACCTTACAGCAGTCTTCATACTAAGTAAGCATTTAGGGACTGTGGAGAGGAAAACTCCCTTTTAACAAGAAGAAACCTCCAGAGGATCCTGGCTCAGTATAAGCAGCCATCCTCCATGACTCACTGGGGATCGAGAAGACAGAACAGGCACACACACACACACACACACACACACACACACACACACACACACACACACACACACACACACACACACACACACACACACACACACACACACACACACACACACACACACACACACACACACACACACACACACACACACACACACACACCAAGCAATGTGTCTATGGTTACATTGTGATTTCTTAGTAAATATTCTAATAAACTTTATTGTATTTTAGATATTCTATTTGGCGAGAGATAAACTTTATTGTACTTATCCTAGTGAATCTTTAGTGAAACGGGTAAACTAGCAGTAGCACATCCAACGTCAAGAAAAGCAAAAAGTTATTACGGAGAATGAACTGTCCTGAATTGGAATGTTTATTATGTGAAGTGCCTTGAGACAACTCTTGTCGTGATTTGGCGCTATATAAATAAACTTGAATTGAATTGAATTGAATTACCAGGAGAGGGAGAATGTTTAAGTGATTAGCAGCAGTGTGCTAGACGATGGCCCCCTCCATGAGACCACCACAGCTCAGCAGAACATCATTGTAGCAGGATTGAGACATTAGACTGTTTTGTGATTATTTCACTGTAAAATTATTACATGTTGTAGCTTTAAAGTATTATATAAAGTTGAATTTTTATTAGAAAGCCATAACTAATCAAATTAAAATGTAAAAAGTGAAAAGTCAGTCGGTCTCATTCAATACAGAGAAAAACATACTCAAACTCCTCAGCGCAAACCTCCTTAGTGTAAGTGTCAGAGGAGTAGAGGACCACATTGGCTAGTTGATCAACTAAAACAAAAAACAAAAATAAAAATTCATTTTATTTGGAGTAAATTATTGTATTCATTCATTTCTAACATTGTGGTTTTGGTCCTTACCAGTGATCTTTATTTTCTTCACAGTTTTTGTAGTTTCATTGTTAATTTTTACATTAACAGTGATCGGGTCTCCATGATAGTAGACCTAAAACATAAGAACGATGTGTTTTGAAAATTTCACAAAACCTTTTCAGAATACCAACGTTTTATAGATTTTGTAGAGTTTAATGTACCTCCTTCTCAAGGCAAGCCTGCACATGGATAGGTTTGTCACTCATCATAAATTGCTTTGACAATTCAGCCTTCGGTCCGGCTTTGTTAGCCGGTGCATACTGAATTTTACGAATCATCAGACGACACGTGTCCCTGAAAACAGATATGTGTAACATGTTAGGTAAAGCCTTTGCATTGACCTTATCTTTATTGAAATAACAGAGTTTGACTGTGTCCAGACCTACTTTTTGTCAATAACTTCATCTGGATTATCAGCATCGTTGGCGAGGTATGCTTTAACCTCAAAATCCACTCCACAAGCCTACAACAGAACATAATAAAACAAGGTGATTGTCTACATTTAGTAGCTTAACAATAGATCATAAAATGGGTATGGCTTTTCGAGTCTATACTTCTACTTACTACTCTACTCTACTTTTCATACAAATGATTTATGTAAATATGACTGAACTATTGTGTAACTGAATATATTTGATTATGAATTACTACTACGACTATACGGTAAATGTACCTTTCCACGATCATTTGGTCTAGGTTGACAGGAGACAGAGCATGGGAGGTTTGTTGGCATCTGAAACATGTAGACATAAAAGCAGCTGAAAATATGATCAGTGGTTATTGCAGCTGAATCTGGAGAAAAGCAGGATTTATTTGGTTTTACGCTACCTGGAAGGAGAAGGGACATCCCTGCTCACCAACTTTTTTCAGGAGGGACTCCTGCATTGGAGTCTTAGTTGGATTTCCATTAGTGGGTGGATAAATCTGAATGCGCTTTAACCAGATGTCTCTCCTGAAGGAGAGGCTGATAACATCCAAGTCATCGCTGCCATAGCGGAATGCACAGGCGAGGTAGATGAATACTGCAGAAGATGATAGCATTAGTTTATGTTGGCTGACTTTGAGGATTTTTATTAAGTAGAAAAGTAAATGTACCTTTTCTACCATTGAGGCCAGAAGGGTCCACTTTAACTATTCCATCTGTAAAGAGAAAAAAATCTGTCACTTCTGAAACAGAATGCCACGTGTGTGTAATTTTACAAGAACGACACCGTTAACTCACCAACTAAGTCAACAGAATCCACGTGGTCCACAAAGTCTCTCCTCCCCAGGTACAGGGCGATCTGAGGGAAATGAAAGGAGTTATTTTTAGAGGCTGTAAGATAAAATGGCACCACGTTGTAATAACTAGAGGTCACTTACGACTCCATTTCCACTCGTTTTTTTGAAAACTCTATAACAAGACACAGACGGGACATACTGAGTATTACAAGTTTAATTTGGCATATAGACCAACTCTGAAAACTCCCCAAATGAAGCAAATGTTTGTTTACTTGTATTTCAATAATTTCTTCCTTTGTCACAAAAACGTTACTTATGGTTTTGTAGACGATGTGATCTCTAAATACACAATCAATGCTCCCCAAATCCCCACTCCACACCTCTGCTCTTCTTGTTTAAAGACAAGTTGGTACTTCGAACACTGATTTTGAAAGTAGGCGTGCCCGTGAGCTCATATTTATGCAACATTATGGGAATTCAAAAATTTCCTTTGGGGAAAAAGTCAACTGTTGTTTGAAACAAATTGTGACAAGATAAATCAACTGATCTCCAAACTGGTAATATTTTGTTATTAAAATGTGAATGAATTGTTCTGTACTGCTCTGCACACATACTGTAAACAAAACATAATCCCGGGTTGTGTTTGCCTCTTTCATGTGTTTGCCAAGTAATCCTGTTTAATCCTAGTCATTTGTCTTGTAAATCTCTTATCTGGGATTAAATCCACATAATCCACACTAATAAGGGGTTTTCTACATCCTGCACAAATAATCAAAATATGAAATAATGAAAGTGTTACAGGAATGTTACATTTGAGCCACTTTGCAATGTTTTTTTTAACTTTAATTTGTGTATTGGCAGCTCCTTTCAGCACACGGAATTATCAAGTCACAATTTATTGGGTTTTAGTCAAAACACATTCATTCTGGATAGCAGGATTGCTGCTAACAGAAAAGATTCCCATTTAGAGAGAAAGTATTATTGTTCCAATTGATGATTAAAAGGATATTTTTTAATTCATGCAATCTGAAGTAACTGTTAATGTTGGATTTTAGTTATTTTTCATTGAAGAAATCACTTACTTTGACATGACAGCAGTTACTGATGCAGTCTGCAAATTAAAAAGAAAAAAAAAGAAATTGTTTCATTGTCAACATAGGATGAGATCACTTAATTTTACTGTTTCCACTTGATGGTGAGACTGTTCTCCAAAAATCACACAAACCTCCTTATTTTACTGTTTTGTTACATAAAATAATCAGAGAACGCATTTATTCACACAGCCAAATAGGTTTTACTTTTTTTGTAAACATTCATTATTAAAAAAACAAGTTTCAATATGTGTAGCTCTTGATGTCTTGAGTAGAGAAACAGATGTCTTACCGTGCTCTTGTTCTTCGTGTGTGAGTCTTCTCTTATCTGTGCTGATGAAGAGCGAGTAACAATCACTGCCTTCGCATTTGCTTTTATACAGTGAGCCCCTCCAACCTCTAAGCCCTCCTACCTGCTTATACAAGGCAGGAGGGTGGCTGATTTGGAATAAATCTGATTAATTCATTATAAAACTACTGTCTTGGTTCACAACATGGTTGAAAATAATGTATTTACATCATAAATGGCATTACCTCAGAGACGGGGTTAGAACTGGTGCCAGCATCAAAAACGGGATACTTTCTTATTTGAAATTAAGTGTTTAAAAATATGTAGTTCTCCCTTTTTTGACAGTGCATGTTTGCATAGTGAAGCTGTGATATTGCACCAGGTGCACTGTCTAGAAACCAAAGAATATTCTTGGTAGAAGCTGACCAAGCAGTGATAAAACACCCAAATCTCGGCTTGGTACCAATCAGAAACCTGCATCATAAATGGTCATGGCAGTATTGTGCTGAAAAGTAATCTGCCCATCAGCAAACAAACAGGCAGAGACACAACCCACAATCTTTTAACCACTTGGAAACAGTTCTTGTTTCCAGGATTCCATTTTTACTCCTCAAACAAGGACAAAGAATATGAATCCTGTTAAATGTTGCACATTGTTTGCTTATATCTTCCTGCTGAGAGTGCACCGGCGTAATGATAAACAAATGCATGCATATGCAGGGTGTTGTTTATTTTTTTTAATGAGCCTAATTTCTGAGTAATAATGGAGAAATGGCTAAATTACACTTTTTAGATTTTCAGAAACTCCTGACAATGATATATTGATTCTATTCCAAAAGACTTTAAAATAAAGTTGAACATATCTTATTAGCTTAACAGAATTCAAAAGATTTGAACGTATTATCAGATTAAGGTAAAAGATTGAAAGAACTTCAAGGATTTCCTTTCTAAAAGCTTAGACTGAAGCAGAGTGGCATTAGCTGGATTTGAATCATGGGCGCCACGACGACAGATGGCTAGCTTGAAGCAATCTGGATTTACGGACGATTTACAGAAATCTCAGTGACCTTCTGACTTTATGTTGTGCAAGTACCAAGGACTAAAAACTAACATGACTGTTGATGCAAAAACCATCACACCTGCTTGTGCTAATGGTCATTGGGATGGCTGATTAATCACATATCCGACAGATAACATTTAGTTGTATTATATGCCCTTATTTGATGGGCACAGTGGAAATAAATGGGAAATAAGAAGACTGAGAGATTAGGTAAAAGGGCTAACTAGCATGAAACGTCAAAGCTTAGACATTATAAGCCATCAAGCCAGTACCATAAATTTGCACCCACTCGTGATAATTAATCATCTTATTAGAGGTATCAAGGTAATGGAAAATTGACAAGTTAGATTAAATCCAGCCTATCAAACTTAATTCTTCTAATGAAAGTTTTTGTTTTCTAGTCTGGAATACTTAAGGCTGTATTATTTAAACAGGGTGGCCTGGTTGTAAGAATATCTGAAGAGCTGCACTGATTGTCTCATAAAACCTGAGTTGTCCACATTTTTACTGTCTGCTTTTCCAATGTCAACATTCTAGGACCAGTGCTCTTTAAATATCTGACTAAATTGTCCCCTCCCAAATATAATTTTTGTCCTGTGGATTGCTTCATTCTTTTTGGTAAATGGCCTGTATTAGATACTGTGCCTTCTAGTCCTAGAACCCCCCAAGGTGCTTTACAACACAATCGCTCATTCACTTGTGCGCACACACATTCACACCCTGGTAAACCCTGATTTACCAGTTTTTGGTAAACTGTGTTATTTAGTTGCAAAGAAGTGATATAATTGACATGATGTTCACCTATATACGTTTATCAGCTGTAGATAATCTATTGGAGGGAGGACTGATGGTAGATCCTCTTTTCTTAGTCAAAAGTAATTGATTAATTACTGACGACGAGTGTGGATGATTGGTATGTTGAAGGGATTACGACACCCTGGCAGTAAGAGATAATGAATCAGATTGGTGTGTTGTGTTCACACTTTAAGTGTCACACAGGGACGAGGTTTGAGATCTCTTTAAAGCTTCCCTGACCAGACAGCTTTGGTGTGAATCATGCTGCCGGATCAGCAATCAGGAGTGTAATCTCAGCAGTTTAACGGTCATCAGATTAATTAACACCAGCCCAATATATTAATGCAGCTTGGTTTATGGTGGGGAGAGGTTTCTGCAGCTGTGAATAACAAAAAGTTTGCAAGCAAATCTTTTGGCTACTTCTCTTACAACTTGACCTGTTTGTATTTATTTAAACTATTTAGTGAATCCCAAAGATTGCACCTTAAATTGTATCAGCAAGAAAGTTTTTTTCCCTTTAAACATGCCTTTCCAGCCACCATCTGGATTGAATTTTGACAACACAGCACACTTCCAAAAGTGTAGCACTTGTTAAGAATCTTATGTTCTAAACTTTTCATCATCAATCCATTTGTTAGGAATGAGATTTATGTCAATAATACCACGGGGGTCTCACTTTTGAGAATGAACATGAGCACAGCCACTCTGATGTGTACAAACACACTTTAAAGGTAAACCTAAAACCCGCAACAAAAGGGAAAAAACAACTACCTGAAAACTTTAGGCAATATTTATGTGTATAAAACAGACTAAATAAAGCAAATGTAGGAAACAGATTGTTGGCTGGTTCGTTATACAAGAAGGTATTGTTAACAAGCAAAAAAGCTTATACAAGCAGCTACAGGAGGAAGGTGTGTGTGTGTGTGTGTGTGTGTGTGTGTGTGTGTGTGTGTGTGTGCGCGCGCGCGCGCGCAAGTTGTTGTTGCATAATATGATCATGGACTTTTATCTAACTGGGAGCTGTTAATTTTCATGTCTGTTAAATGCTGGAATTTCTTTTGGGCATCCTACATAAATTACCTCATAAAACAATGCATTAAGACTTTTTGAGGGGTTAATATCAAATATTGTTTGCACATGGGCTTTTGTAAGGCTCTACAGTTCAAATCCGGCTCAGTTTACTGTTGAATAGTCAGGTCCAAAGGTTACGAATAAACATTACATGAGTTTTATTGTGTTGTTTATATCCGGTAACTCATAAAAAGATCCAGGGAGGATATGATGTCTCTTTGTGATAAACTGTTATCACTTTTGTTGCAGCTTTAGCTGTGTAGGACCACATAGACACACATAAGCTCCTTACAGTTAAGCTGTTTCCATTTCAGGCAGGTACTTTATATAAACGGCACGTATGGTCTCCTGAAGGGACTCCTGACTTCTCCTGGTGCATTAGGGCACCACTGTATTACCTCTTCTTAAATATACAACCTAAATTAAGATGGTGATGTAGGGTTTGCTATTTACAGGAACTCTTTTACAGCTCAGTTAAGGTTTACACTTCAGAGTATACGTGAAGATTTCTCGGTGCATTGGCTGAATTTAAAGCTGCAATGGCATATTTGGGGGAAAAATTAGCTTAAAACATTATTACATGCTTCTTCACAATGTTCTAACAAAGCATAATTATGATTATATTGTGGAGATTAAAAAGAAAATGAAAAAAAAATAATGGTTCTCTCGCACCTTTAGAACCAAAAAGCAACTATTGGCCCAACCGGTTGTTGGTCCAGCAGAACCATGGAAGAACCATTTCCACTCTTCCCATGGTCCTCCATTTATTGTGCACTCACATATTTAGCCACAGAACACCACTGGTGTCAGAGAAGGAGAAACAGCCAGCTGCTACCATTTAGGACAAACTACCAGAGTCCCAAAAAGAAAAACACCATTTAAAGTCGAGGACAACAAAAGGCGTTTGGACCTAGAAAACAGTGATCGGTGCTTAGCACTATCTCGTTTCCTCCGACATCTCTGGTTTCTGGTTCTGGCCGAAGCGTCTCAAGTAAACGTCCCGAGGAGAGGGGTGAGTGTTCCGTGACCGTGGTTGCATTCAAAACCTAGCTTGTTCTGTGGATTTGCCATAACAGCTTTAAGTGTAGGAACTCTGGCTGACTGTTGGACAGGTTTCAGCATGTTACCTGTTACATCATTTGTATTCTGCAGCTCCTTCATGGCCTTAAGACAACTGTAATTTTATCTCCACTTAAAGTCAGGTGAGTCTAAAATGTTCTATCATTATTTGAAATGACAGACCATAAGAAGTCTGTAATCATAGTGTCATGTTCTGTGTCCCTTTGTTCCCCAGCCCCTCCAGTTCCCACTCCAGGTTTTCTTCTTGTGTCCCACTATTATCCCCAGCCCTCTGTAGACTTCCCTCAGGTGTCTTTCTAATCATTCCCCATTCCTAATCTATCTTTCTTTAGTCCTCCTTATCCGTCTAGTTATTAGTTGTTGATTTTTTGCCCTCAGTCTTTAGGTTTAGTTTTGTGTTTTATAGTTTTAGGTTTAGGTTTATCTGCCCTCCTCTGGTTCTGTTCCCCATTTAGATAATTGTATTCACCTGCTTTCCCTCCAGCCCTCACTCCACACACCTGCTGCCTATTTCCCTAATTGCTCCTCTCTGTTTATAAAAACCTTGTCTTGTCGGTCCATTGTTGTTGTCAGCGTGTTTTGTTCCCCCGTGTAAAATCTGAGACTCCTGCATGTTTTTGTGACTCCTGAACTTGTTCCTGTTTTCTGGATACCTTGCTTGACTTCCTGTCCGTCTTTTTTTGGAGAAAGACTTCCAAATAAATGATTCTACCATCTTTTCAATTACTCCTGCCTCATGTCATCTGGTGCTCTGCATATTGGGTCCTACTCCTCCTAATCTGAACGTGACACATAGCTTGTTTGTTATTCATTGTTTACCTTGCTCAGGACTCTCTGGCAAAACCTGAATCTATAAAGACAGTTTTTCTTGTGCAACTCCTGAACATACAATAAACTACCATGGTGCATCAGGGCCATCATTAGGCAAATAAAATAAAAAATCAAGGACGAAGTGTTGAGATTAAATATCATTACCAGAATGAAATCAGAATGTTGAGAAAAAAAAGGCAAATCTATGCTTTTGGGAAGTGAGCCTAACTGGACTCCTTAGTTTTGTTTAGATCGTTATTGCAACCAACAAGACATTTTGTTAAACACCATG